TTGATTTTGACCTTAACCTTGAACCTAACTTCTGAAGTTTTTTTTTCAAACTTAATATAATAAGATACTTGTAAGTGAGAGAAATTAAGTTTCCTACTTTGAACTTTCCAATTACCTTGAATTGATTTTTCCAATGACCTTAACCTCATTATTCCTTCATTATGCAGTTAACTAAGTTTCAAAAAGTGATCAAGATGTTATCATCAGACTTTGTATGCTGATAAAAATTGATGAGAGAGAGCAATTAAAGTATGTCTTTTTTTTTTTTACCATGATCTTCCTTCATCTTATATTATTTCATTAAAGATTATTTCAAAAATCTTGTATGCCAATAAATCTCTGTAAGAGCATTTTGACCATTTATACTTGAGAGCTCATATATAAAAATTTGCTTAAACATGAAAGAATGAACTTAAAGCGATGAGATTTCATTTGGCTGTTAGATGATAGAGGATGAATCGATACAACATATCAGGCTACAAAGGTCACCAACTGTATGGAGGGTATCAGTTCTGTATAGGGAAAAAACACCAAAATTTTCCTATATTCATCAATTCATATTTTTCTATGATCTCTGACCAAAGAAGGAATGTACAAACGTATATGTATGCCTTGGGAGGGGCGTTCATGGCCTATGGACGTATTTCTGGTTTGGTTTGACTGGTTGTTTTTTTTCTAAATTTATTTTGGTGGTTTTTGGGTTGGTTTTTTTTTGGGGGGGGGGAGGGGGGGAGGGAGGCTCCACAGTGAAATACTTGTATTTATATATATTCTTTTAGAAATAGTTTAGAATACTTTACTTGTATATAAACATATTTAATTGAGAACAAATTATTTGTGAAAAATTTTAATATGTGAAAACTTGAATATGAAACAAATAGTTGGACTTTTTTTATGTGCAGAGAATGTTTTCATGCAGTCTTCCATATTGTGCATTCATTTTAGACAGATTAAAATTGCAGATGCTGCAAATTTCAGGATCAGAAATAAATATGCACGCATTCTATGCATGTGATGTGAATTCAAAGAGATGATGAGAGCTCAATTTTTTTATGCCTGTTCAGGTAGTATATGATACACTGGCATTCCCCAATGTGAAGGATAACCGTATATCATTGTACATATCCAAGGACTTTGCAGTGTCTTTTGATCTGGTTTTGAAGCGTGCTTGAGGTATACATTTACTGCAATAAATCACTGTCTAATTGTGCAGAACTCTGCTCAGATTCGTTTTGCCAGACCACCACAATAGACTAGGGTATATCAGGTCTTCTTTTGACTAAAGGATTTTTCAAAATATGGTTTCAAAAGTCATTTCAATTTAGATTTTCAAGTCAGAATTTGATATCGAGCTTCAATTCCAGGGATTGCATGTTTAAAGATACCTGGGACTTTGGTTTCGAATACATTAGTAGAGCAGTTTACATGTTATGGTAATACATATATACTTTCGTTATGGGGTATATTTGATGATTTATAATCATATGACAAGTTATGTAAGGCAAGTACCTCAGTATTAAATGATATAATATGAATAATGCTTCATCACGCGTCACCAGACCTTATGGAATTGGATTTTGCAACAAAAGCTGATAGAACTAAAAAATTTGAGAACTATCACACCTTCTTATATAGAATAAGAAAGGGGATCTGTTAAATGGTATCATATTTGATCTCAAGTTAGCAGCTTAAGTTACCTATTTGAATAAGTTTTTATCCAGTTTCACCATCCCAAGTCCTTGATACACTTGAAAAAGAGAAAAGGGTGCAATTTTTATTTTTGAATTCAAAGACAAAAAAAGCCATGGTGCAGAATTACGACCCAAAGCTGGAATGTGCCACTTTGTCTTTGACCCAGTGACCTACTGCTGTAGATGGATTAGGAGATTACTTACCTGGGCTGCTGTAGATATTTGGAGTAAATTATGCCAAGTGAACTATTAGAGCATGCATCATTTAAAGATTAACTGCCCAGCTAAAAGCTTGGACATGTGTATTTGAATGAAAGGGGTGTGTCTATCGTGTGCTCTGTAACCTTCAAATTTTGTAAGGATAATTATCTTCATTTTTGACCAGTAAATTTGGAGTACACTATTATAATATTATACAGATCGATCTAAATGAAATGTTTTAAAATAAAAGCTGTTCAAAATGTGTTTCATAAAGGTTAAAAAGTTTCTGACAATAAATGGCACTGATGGTATTGCATTCTCTTTCCAAAACAGAAACAAAAGAAAAAGAAGTCTTTGATTTTTGACTCCCCCCTTCCACGGAAAATGATGTTACATGCACTGTATAACATGACTTGATTTTTTTGGTCCCAATATGTGAATTATGTGTCTGAAGACAGTATTATCTCTTCATCAACAATGTCTGCCATAAGTGACACTGATAATGCGATACATCATTTCATATTTCACACTTATTCACTTCATGCTTCTTGTGATTGTAGTTTTTTTTTTTTTTTTTTTTTTTTTTTTTTTTGATTATGGTAACTTCAGAAAAATCTATATAAATTCACCCTGAATTTAGTTAGCCTGTTCAATAAAATACTCAAAACAGCTTTAACACTTTCCTGATTAAATATAGTTAAATCTTGGTATTTTAATTTTAATTAATATTTCATTATTTAAAACCATTCACATAACAGGATTAGACCTTGATCAGGGATTGCCTGTATAAGTCCTCTCCAAGAAGGTCAAGTTACAAATTTTAAAAAATAACAAAAAATTGAAAACATATAGACAAACCTTGATATCTCAAGCTAAGCAACACAAAATACAATGAGATATTTAAGTACCGGTATATTCAGGACAAGTTTTCTAAAGTGTAGTAATTATTTAAATATTTTAAAATATCATTAAAAGCAATATTTGTAGTTTTTATTGATTGTTGGAATACTATGAAATCACTATTTTTCATGGGGAGTTAATATTCGTTGTTTTCAAGGTATGAAGAGATGAACAAATTTATGTCCACCACGAAATGTAATCTTTCACATATATATTACTTCTCAACAATTCATCATCCACGAAATCAAATTCCCATGAACCAAATATTTTTAGCTCACCTGAGCCGAAGGCTCAAGTGAGCTTTTCTGATCATAATTTGTCCATTGTCTGAACTCGTTGTCCTCCTCATCGTTGTTGTTGCTGTGAACTTTTCACAATTTCATCTTCTTCTCCAGAACTACTGAGCCAGTTTGAACCAAACTTGGCACAGAGTATCCTTGGTGAAGGGCCACACCCTCTTCCAAGGGGAGATAATTACAAATTAGTGAAAAATTAATGGCATCTTTTAAAAATCTTCTTCTCAAGAACCACTGGGCCAGGAAAAATGAAACTCATGTGGAATCATCCTCAGGTAGTGTAGATTCAAATTTGTCCAGATCATGACCCCCGGGGGTAGGGTGGTGCCTCAATGGACGATCAAAGTTTTACATAGGAATATATAGCAAAAATCTTTAAAAATCTTCTTCTCAAGAACAGCAAAGCCATGATGAGTCATATTTATATGGAAGCATTTTCAAGTGGTGTAGATTCAAATTTGTCCAAATCATGACCCCCGGGGGTAGGATGGGTCCACAATGGAGGATGACAGTTTTACATAGGAATATATAGGGAAAGACTTTAAAAATCTTCTTTTCAAGAACAGCAAAGCCATGCGTATTCATATTTATGTGGAAGCATCCTTTGGTGGTGTAGATTCAAGTTTGTTCAAATCATGACCCCCTGGGGTAGGGTGGGGCCATAACGGAGATCAAAGTTTTACATAGGAGCATATAGAAACAAATTTTAAAAAAAACTTCTCAAGAACAGCAAAGCCATGATTGGTCATATTTATATGAAAGCATCCTCAGGTGGTGTAGATTCAAGTTTGTTCAAATCATGACCCCTGAGGGAAGGGTGGGGCCAGAATGGACGATCAAAGTTTTACATAGGTATATATAGAAAAAATTTTCTTAAGAACACCAAAGCCATGATTGGTTACTAACTATTCGTAAGTATCCTAAGGTAGTGTAGATTCATGTTTGGAAAAAATCATGACCCCCTGGGGATAGGGTGGGACCACAATTGATGATTAAAGTTATGCATATGAATACATAGGGAAAATTTTAAAAAATCTTCTTCTTAAGAACAGCAAAGCTATGATTGGTCAAACTTATATGGAAGCATCCTCAGATAATGTAGATTCAGATTTGTAGGAAAAAAAGTCACAGACAAAGAATTATGTAAGCATCTTTAGTTAGTGTAGATTCAATTTTGTTCAAATCATCCCTCCCCCCTCGCTTTTTAGGGGTAGGTCTGGACCACTTATGCATTAAAGCTTTTCAATACTGAACTGATTTTTGCTTTTTTTTTCCTAGCCACAGTGCTCAGGTGAGCGATGTGGCCCATGGGCCTCTTGTTTCCTCAAACCACAAAAATTTGACCCCCAAATAATATGTGATTTTACAGAAGTATTTCTTCACTTGCAGGATTTTCAAATTTATAAACATGTGATCTTTTTCTAGAACACCAAAAATAACAGTTTTGACATCAAATACAATTCTTATACCAGACTTTTAAAAATCCAATGTGACAATCCTAGCAAAATTATTACTTATGTACCATAATAAGAATTAATATTTTAAGATTGTCAGAAAAGTTCATTTTGATATTGTCAAAATTATTTATTTAATGAAGACTTCTTTAATGTAAAATATTTCAATATTTCAAAAATGTAAAATAAAAATATTTCAATCTTCCTGATCTGAATCCTTGAAGGTGAACATACTGATTATTCTGTTACCTGGCAGACTAGCCTTGTCTTAATCTTCAATGCTTCAGAAAACAAAATGTGGTGATTTTTTTTTTTATAATGAATGAAATCAGTTGAAGCTTGTGAGCATGCAAATCTGACACTGCTACATTGTAGTGAGAGTAGCATATTTATTTCAACATTGAGCATACTTTCTGAGTAATGAACTTGCTCAATTACTTTAATTTCTTCTTTTCCAGTTAATGCAGTGTTCAGGGCGATTAAAGATGCGAGCAACATCTAGTCGATCGAACAGTTACTCCATAGATGGTCTAATTTGTATTTGTCGTCCAATGCAAACTAATTCTATCATGGAAATCAAACTAGATGGCAGCATGTTCATCAGTCGTCATGATCTTGGCATGAAGTTCACATTTTGTGACCCAAGGTAGGACTTGTGTACTTGTAATATTGCTACATATATCCTCATAATAACCATTATTATGCAGAAGAATATAATAAAATTCATAAAGTATATATCACATTTAGAAAAGGGATTAGTGTTCAGTTTGGCTCCTTTTATTAAAGAATAAAAAATAAGAATCTATAAAAATGTTGGTATATTGGATAAGTTGTGTAGGGATGTACCGGTAATTTTTAAAAAGTTGAGAATCCTGTCATATAATCCATTCAAGCAACTCGTTCATATGCCTTGCAACCAAATTATGAAGATTACACAATGACAAGATAAACTATCTCAGTTGACAGTGATCAGATATGATACGTATCTTAGTCTTGTGTGAGTTTTTATTGCGGTCTTGGCACCTTTGGGTTATATTAATGAGTGCAAAAGACAGACGGACTAGGAACCTTTAAATTCCTAGTACGGAATCATTATTATCTGACATCAGTGTAAGAAATTGTTTTGCCTAGTTACAGAGGATAAAGAGATTTTGGTGTCTATTTCAGCTTCATATCGTTGATATTTTTTTCGGTGCCACTTTTTTGCATTTTAGTCCTGTTTACAATTTTCTGGACTCTTCTGACGTGTGTGTCTTCCTTTCTTTCATCTGAACGATTTTAAACAAAAAAGATGTTTTTGTTTATATGGTATCTTTTGCAGCAACCTTGGAAGGTTTCTGATTTCTGAATGTTAATTTTAACCCCAATGACCCCGGGTGAAGCTAGTACTTAGTTGATCTCTCAGCATCATGTGCTTTCACATTGTCTCTTGCATAAGCAATAGTCCTAGCATATACAAAGAGTACTATGTGTGGTGTTAAATGTCATTTTAGTACAACAGTGTTATTTTCTCTAAATGTATGGAACATATGATCCGGGTGCCAAAGAAATCTTGCCTCACTATTCATTTACATACATCATTATGGTAATAGTTGCTAAATGCTAGGCAGTTAATGGTTATTTTATCCTAAGTCGTGTTTTATTTTATTGTTTGTGTATCTACAATTTGAATAGATCATCTTCTGATATAATACTTAATAAGATACCCACAGATTTATGCTAGAAGCTGTTGAACACCACCCCTTCACTCCAGAGTTCACTGCTCCGGACAGATTTTAATATTCAGGGAATGCTTTCAGAATGATGAAGTTGTTTGGGTTCTTTGGATGTCTTTCCCTTCCTATCTCTCTTTCCCATCAGAATTAGTCTGATTTTATTTCAGTTTGTTAACCTTAAGACTAAGGATTCTCACTTAGGTGTAAACTAAAAGCTAGTTTATTAAAGGCTGTTACGAAATAATCTGTAACATTTTTATACAAGGCTCCATGAAATCTTCTTCACTCAAAATACAGATATAGGTCACTTGAATCAGTTGACCTCTTGCAATCCATTTTAGCTTACCTGGCCCAGAGTACACAGTGATTTTATACCATCACCTTGGGTCTATCATGGTTGGTGTTTTCAGCCATTGTAAACTCTGGAAAAATCTCTAAACTCACATACTTTCCACTTTTCATTTTGATCTGCTTGAAAAACAAAGCCATTGTAACTATAAATAGAACTTATGGATGAAAATAAGTTTTTTTGGTTAAAAAAAAAAAAAAAAAAAATCAGAAGTAAAAGGAGATAAGAAAAATTTGGGCCGGGTAAAAATAATCAGGATTATAAATCTAGCTATGAAGCAAATTTCAGTAAACTCTTTGAAGCAATTCTGGTTTTTGGGAGCCTCTTGTTGTCTGTAATCTTACATTGCATGTCACTTACAAACTCGAGAACATCTGAGATTGCACAACAATCATAGCTAAATTTAAGTACATATCAAACTTCAAGCAAAAGAGAATCAACAAGTCCCCTCACACCTCCAAGTTTGTCCGAAACCTCAAAAAATGTTACTGTCATTTAAAATCTTTGCATCTGCATATCGAAATGAATATTGTTTGCATGCTAATTCTAGTTGATGTGGCAAAAAGGGGGGTCTTTAGTTGGATATGATTATATGAAACTAATTTTTAGAATGAGATTTAAGTCTAAATAACTAATTATTCCATTGTCCTTACTTTCACCACTTTGAACTGATGGATTTCTACTGAGAGATTGTTCTAGTTATTTTCCAGTGACATTAATATCAACTTTAGTGGCCAAACTACTTTTTATAGCCTTGAACATTAATGTGATGTTTGTCAGTATTTTAAATCAGTACAATAATAACTAGAGAATGACATTATTATAAATGAAGACTCTCCCGAATGAATTGAAATGTTCTTTTTATTATTTAAATTCAGCTTCTATAAATCTTCTTTTTTTTCCCCCATGTATGACTCATAAGAAATATATTAATCATTTGTTTTTATTTTTTAGAAAATACAATTAAAATCTGGTAAAGTTGAGAAGAAAAAAAAATTGATTTTACATGTACAAGTAAATTATTAAGTGATATAATTGCTGTCCTAGCTTGGTTAATGCTGAGGATAGCAAGGAGTATAACTCTGTCAAGAAGCACATATTTTGCGTATTGTGTTCACAAGAAACAAAATTACATTGAATTCAGTATAAATTGAAAGCAAAACTAGAAAAAAATTTAAAAACTTACAAGGCTACATAAATTTAATTCTCTGGTTCTCAGTTCAATTTTCTCCAAAACAGATGCAGACAGGAGGCTTTTTTTTTATCATTTTATTGGCGATAAAGTAGATGAGGGAGGTATTTTTTTAATATCCGAATTTTCTATACAGTTAACTTAAAGATAAACATTCTTTGTTCATGATATACTTTCCATTTCTGATCAATAGGTTTGCATTATCCATTGCTTATCAACGTGTGAACATCGTAAACATTATCTTCAAGTGTATTTTTAAACGAAGTAGCCAAGTTCTCTTTGAAAATGGCTACCAGAAGTGATATTCGAGTACTAAACTACGTTTATTTTATTTTATTTTTTTATTTTATCAAAAATACAATAAAATTTGGAATTCTGCTACCTCAAAATGGATGCATGCGGGCCTGAGAACTGTAATTTCAATTTTATGTAGCCTAATATGTACAGTTTATAAAAAAAATAAAATAACAAAAAAGGACCTTAGAATAAGTTTTTCATGATGCGAGTGTTGTTCTCATTTTGACAGTTTGTATTTTGTCTGCACTTAAACTTATTTGAAGGTGTTAACTGACAATCAAGTTGTACATGTACTAATGTGTATCTACAAGCAAGTTAATTTCCAGAAATTTAGTTAAACCCGAAGATATCTAGTTTTAGTTTTTGTGGCATTCCACTTGATGTGTGACCACTGACCGATTGTTTCTGCCTGCCATTGGTTGTAATCCATTTGAAAATTGCACGTAGATTTTCATATCTTAACTAATTGATAAACTCAGTAAATTATTATATAGAAAATATTACAATGGAGAATTCTTTATTTTTAAAACTTTTTAAGGAAATTATTATACTAGCCTTGTGTACTTCAGGCTTCTGGACCCATTCCCAAGAATCGTGTAAATTTCCAATCAATAAATTTCTATGCAGTTTTTGGCATGTAAATTTAGTGCACATGCAATATTTTTCAAATTAGCTGAATAACAAACCTGTACATAAAAAGTAGCATGTTTGTCACTAAATTTGAATTATAAGCATTGACTCTATAAATTGTTTTGTTCATTGAAAAATGAATTTAAAAACGAACCCCACACTTTCTTTATGAAAGCCTTCAGCTTTCATAATGTGTGTTTGGATTTATAGATTCATTTGGTTCTCAATGAACAAAATAATTTATATATTCAATCCTTTAATGAAGAATTAAATTTTGTGCTCAAAGATCATGAAGAAAAAAACTGATGATAATGAAAAAAACTTGTATTATATCATCTTCGCTAGCCAAGGGATTCTGATACGCTACTCTCCTCATAAGCCCTTGGCATACGGTGTTAAAAAAAGTTGGGATTTTTTTCTCAAGTTGTGATTGGAGTTGATCGACATCGGTCGACCAATCAGCAATTGTTTTTTATAAATGACGATATTTGCGTTCGGGATATATCTTGACTCTTTAATATCGGTAATGTAAAACGCAAGTAAACAATGATCCATAAGATAACATGCAAAATATGTGATTAAGAATCTATACTGAAGATGTAGATTTGCATTTTTACATGTTTAAATAACAAATTAACATAACTCGATACCTTCTTGTTAATTATTCTTTAAAAAACAAAATTTTTTTAAATACGCTTTTTATTTCTGTCGATGACGCAATCTGTGCGTACCTGGTAAGAATCATGATCACGTGACAAAAACAATCCCGTCTTTTGTCAGCACCGTATGCCAAGGGTTTATGAGGAGAGTAGCGTATCAGAAACCCTTGGCTAGCAAAGATGGTATTATATTAATTTTCAATTTACATAGTAAGCCTCATTGTAATATCAATAACTATAAAAGCTAAGATATTTTTTTAGGATATAGTTTTTCATTATAATTATTGCTATATTAGAATTTTTGGTAAATCTCTGCCCTTCATATTTTACATGAATATTTGGTTGGTTGTAAAGACCATTGACCTTTTATAAAGTTTTTTTTTTTTTTTTGGACCTGATTGCCATATGTGTAGAAAAACAAAACCTGACACCTTTGTACATTTAAATAAATATATTTACTTTTTATGAACGGAGATGGCATAATTATATACTATATGTAGTCCAGATTTCATTGTAAAGAAATGAAGTTTTCTCTTTTTTTAATATTGTACCTTTTTGGACTAATGAACAAACTCATGTACAAGCATTGAATAAATGTTCCTCCTATTTCATGGTACATAAAAGATATTATAAATTGATATATTCCTTTTAAAATATTCAAAAGCTGTAGCAGATTATTTTCATCAAAAAATTGTGCAAATTGCAGCTTTCTGTATGCAGTTTTGTTATCAGAATGTTGGGGTGTTAGATTAAATTACTCATCTTTTCTGTGATCCTTTTGTATGCAGTTATACAAAAAAAGATAGGAAAAAATAACTTAAGGGTAAAAAAAGTGAAAATCAACTTAAAGTATGCATATTATTGCATTTGAAAAAAATTGAAAGTATTTGAAGGTTTTCTTTTATTTGAAATCTCAAGGCTTAAAATGTGGATAACTATATATTTATAATTTTTAAGTGAGATAAATTTACAGCATAATTTTACAGAACTGAACACTAGTTCTTCTATCAGTAATATCTTTATTACAACAGAATATCATATTTTTGGACTTTGAAAAATGTTACTTGAGGCTTCAGTGAAACTACTCTCAAAAATCACTCGTTCACTTGTTTTTGAGTTAGTAGTGAAATAAGAATAGCCGGAGGACACAAGACACCCATTTGTTTGAAATTCTAAATATTGCTGACAGTTCATGAATTGTAAGCATAGTGTAAGTAGCTGATACCCAACAAGACTCCAGTCTAGTGGTCCTCACATTTCAGCCATCAAGTATTTAAATTTTAGAGATTTATCATGTGGCTTGATAAAATCAATTGTATATCAAATAACTAATACATTTTAATCTGGCAACTTTAATGAGTGTCTCTGACAGTTATCCTACAAACTGTTGTCTGTGCTGTGATGTGTTACCAAGTCCACCCTCCTATTGTGTTGGATGGAGTGTTGAATGTACGGGATTTAGCCTGGGAGGAGCTGATTTTCATCTCAGCAGCATTTGCACAACTGTCATTTTTAGTATCAGTTGATTTAGACTAACTACATACTGACACATCTGACTCTCTGGATATTTTACAGGATTGCTACTTTGATTGGATATGATCCAGAGGAAGTGATAGGGAAGACAGCATATCAGTTTCATAATCCACTTGATGCTAAACTTGTGGGAGATTGTCACCAGAAATGCAAGTTAATTGTTTTTTGTTTGTTTTTAAAAGAATTATATAATAGTTTTTTTATTATTCCAAAATTTGCAACTGCATGATTAAGAAGTTTTTAAATTTTCCAAAATTTTGAAACTAAGTTCAAGATTTGAAGTTTTAGATGAGATTAGAAAGTATGAAGCCAAAATTTTTTTTAACCTTTTTCAAAAGTATCTGATATTATGTAATTTTCCAAGAAACCCATTATTTTTTAAAGGTTTTTTGAATTTTTAATTGAATAAGAAAAACTAAATTGTAAAGTATGTAGAGCAAAAGGATTTTATATAGTGTATATATCTAAAATCTGATTGGCTGAATATTTCTAAAGGAATTCAAGATGAAAGGAAAACTTTGCAGTCTGATTGGTTGTTCTTTAAAATTCTACTTATATATTATCATATTAATGTTATAACAACTTATATCATATGGTTTATGTATATTACTTTGCATTTGTAAATTTCCTTGCTGCTTTGAGGTAGAATTTGATTTTTTTTTTTTCAAAATGTTTATTTACTGGTACATATATTTTCAATATTATAATCAATATAATAGTTTTTTTTATAGGCTGATAGAATTTTTTCTTCTTTTGCAGTGATTGTAAAAGGAACTTCAGTAAGCAAATATTATCGTTTCATTGGAAAAAATTGTGAGTGGGTTTGGATGCAAACCAGAGCAACTATTATATACAATACAAGTAATGTACCACAGTACATTGTCTGCATGAATTACATTATCAGGTCAGTAGAATTCTTCATTTCAATCTTTCTTAAAGTTTTTTCAAAAGTTTTGGAAGATTTTTGTATTAAGGCACATGCCTTGTGCATGTTGTGTACATATTTTTACTTTTAAAAAAAATGTAATAGATAACATATTATTTAAGCAGTTGATGAGGAAAACCTATGTGCATAATTTTTTAACATCAAATTGAAGAAATTCATTTAAAAAAACCATTTAACTAATTACTTGTTTCTAAAATCATATAAGTGTAGACAATAATCTTAAAATTTTTCTGAAAGTAAAAGTTACCAAATATTTAATTTTAAATAAATTATAACATTTGTAATATTCATTACAGCGAAGAAGAAGGGGAGCAATTCCTCAGAATGCAGCAGGGTAACATTCTCCAGTGCCTGGATGGACGTCAAGCCATTGAGCCAGCCAAAGCTCTGAAGATGGATGACCACCACAGTGACATTGGATACTGGAGTGGAAATAGTCCGTACTCCAGTCATCATCCAAGTCCAGGCTCCACAGATGGACAGAGAGCAGAATCTCCGGAAACCATGCCATCTGGTAACGAGTTTCCAACAGGAGTTTTCCAGCAGGTCGTGAACACTATTGACTCAGAGTGCAGTCGTCCTGATGAAGTGATGAAAATATTAGAAGAGATCGAGAAAGAAGGACAGAAGCACTCAGCCAGCCAGATCTCATGTCCAAAATCATACAGTCCAAACCAAATGGACACATCGTCGAATCAGATTTCACAATATCAAAATCTTGTGGACAATAATTCTCAGCCAGTGAGAAATGACACCTTAAATAACTTTCAGACAACTTCAGAGTCTAGTGGATTTTGTGACAGCAGTACTGGAGTTCCAATCCAAGCTCTTCTCAATGTCCAGATTGCTGCCCTTAATTCCTCAGACTTTGTCCAAAATAATGCTGTATCAGAAGCATTGCCTCAGGAAATAACTGATTTCTGTATGCAATACTGTAATTCAGTAATGGATCAACACAGCCAACAAGTTCTTTCAGAACTTGGGCATAGTAATTTTGTGACAGACTTTGAACAATTTAGTAATGAAAGTGAAGTGAATGGTATCAACCGCTGTGGCATGAATTTGAATACTGCTGACACAATGAATGGACAGATACCTGTTTCAGACACTGGCACCATGCTGAAAATGCCACAGACTGTGACATCATCAGTGGCTTCAACACAATACCCACTACAAGTGGAGTCACACATCGCAATGCCAAGTACAACTGCTGCCTCCTACCAGTACCCTCTGTCAACTGAATCCTGGATAGCCTCTGCTCCGTCATATGTCTCTCATCAGTCCCCAATGTCATCTGCTTGTTCACCATTATCATCTGTTTGTTCTCCCATGTCTGCAACATCACCATACCCTTGCAGTCCCCATGTACCAGAAGTAGCTGGCTTTATGAACCCAGAAGTTACCACTGCACCTTCCAACATTCCTTTTACAAATTCCAACTTGTTATCAACTCCAGCTAATGGCATGGTGTCCCCAAACTCTTACATGGTTCAACCTTTGCCGTCTCTTGGGAACACCAACAGACAGAACTCTCCGACGACTCAAAGACATACAAGGGATTCAAATATGACTGAGCTAGAAAAAGTGCTCCGTGGTTGTTCCACAAATGCAAGTATTTTTACAACCAAAAACAATGATAAGGAATCCCAGAATTCTACACTATTGCAAAAGATGCTTACAGGTCAGTTAACAGGGGAGTCTTATCGTGCAATGGAGAGGCAACGGAAGAAGTCCCTTAATTATCAGTCATCATAGAGTAATCATCTTTGTTTGTTAACTTGGACTTTTGTGTGGGTTAATTCATGTGTTCAGTGACATTCTTAAGTCATCATTTAAATACTTAAGTTATCTGTAACATTGTTTTTGAAAAAATAATAATTGTGGAGCTACATTTTCTTGCAGAAAATTTTGAAAATAGGGAGGTCTACTTTTATTTTTGAGAGAATGTTGCCTTCATTTAAGAAAGAGATTGAAAGAATCCTTTATTTATTGCAGAGTTTTTGTGTGCACTTTTTAAACTGGTTCAGTTTGTTTGTTTTTAGATTTTCATTACAGAATTTTTTTATGTAAAGGATGGTAATGAATTTGACACAAGTTTAAGCACTTGCAGTTAATTCTGTATGTGCTCTCATTTCAATAGGATTCATTATATCTTAACACCGTTTGTGCAATGCTATGAAAACCCTTAAAATAATGATAAATGAATCTTAAATATAAAGATGCTGCTAATTTATGATTTGGCCGATTAGTCCAAGGTTGTTTGCACTAAATTTTGGTTTTTAGGATAAGTGTACAAACAATATTTACCGGTAACTTAATTTGTCTATAGAACAGATTTGCTTTGCAATGTCAGGTATTACTAAACTGTAACTAAAAGAGAGTAATGTTGATATTGATGGCTTTGTAGCTGATCGTGCACTGTAAATAATGCTCATTATTGACATTCCTACTTTTTGTGGTCTCCTCTGTCCTGCTTTAGAGGTTTTGCCTTTACACAATGTGTGTTGATGATCTCAGTTCTCATGTTATGATTTTATAGTCCTTTTCTTTCTTTTTTTTTTTTCTTTTTAGATCTGTCTATACAGCTTTCACTCGAAACAATTCCAATATATTTTTATATGGAATAAAAAAAAGTTGAACACTATGTGTCCCGGAAACCTTAATTAGCATGTAAAACTACATGTATATGACTTGTATAATCAGCCTGTGATTTTTGTTCCATAGCTTTTATGGCACAAATTAAATTGTTGATCTATTTGTTATTGTCAAAATTTATATAATCACATAGCATATTGGATCAGACATATATATATATATTTTTCATTTATTCTAAATAGACTAATCATTTACATGTATATTCATTGTCCATAGTTATTCACTTGTGAAACCTATCTTTATATTTATCATAATGTTTATTCATGTTACAATAAAAGTAACTTTTGTAGAGTTGATAAACACTTAGAGTATATTTTAGATTCCACTGGGGATTAATGAAGAAAAAATTGACACACACAAAATTTTATGTACAGCCAGGGAAAAAAATAACTGTTCCTTATGACATACTAACCATCATTGTATCTTTTATAGTAGACAAAAAGCAATGTTTTGGGGGTGGTTTTGAATTTTTGAAGCTAGTTTGTATGTTTTAAGGGTATTAATTCAGGTTATTGCAGTGTTCAAAACAATTGAAATGTGATGATAAGTAGATTATTTATACAGGAAATGATATGGTTGGAACTCCTAAATGTTCATTTGATAGAACAGTTGATGCCTATAAGAAAGGCATCCCAGTCATATTTTTAGAGGGGTGGGGGTTGAGTAATAAAAAACATAAGGGACAATATACATTTTCAAGCAGGAGTTCTGGGATTTGTTTGGGGCTGTGCTGTTGTTTTGTTATCAATTTTAGCCACAATTAATAACTTTGTTTGCTGATGCCACTCAGTTGAAGCTGCTTTACAACATTTTGTTCCAAGACCACCATGCTGTTTTTGTTATTGTGTAATGGAGATATATATGATGCAATATTTTATTTACATGTTTCATATTTATCATGTATATTTTTACACATTATAATCTGACATGTTTATTCATATGCAAACACTCTTCAAAAAAGACTGTATTTTTAAACTCGCAGTGTATTATTTTTGTAATCCATTCAGTACATATAGATCATATATATATATTTCCATTTATAGATCACCAGTAGATAAGCACAATAAATCCAACATGCTCTAAGGATTTTGATGATATTAAAAAATGAGCATTCTCTAAGGGTTTTGATGGTTTAATAAAGACCATGTTTCTTTTGTAGGTTTTCTTTTAATCTTGAAAAAAAAGGATAAACGTACATCTGGGTTTTTCTCAATCCTGAATTAATTTTTCATAATCATTGTGGCATATGAGATAAATTTTGTAAACAAGGCATATGTGCCATAATTCCTCTATCCTAGTGTACTGATGGTTGGAAATTCCACATAACCATCTGAAAATTCAGTCAAATTGCCTGTTACTGTTTAAATTATATTTCTCTGTTTTATATTTAGGTTTACACTTTTTTTTCAATTCATTAACATGAACATGCTTGCTTCAGGCCACTGATATGCAAGAAATTAAAAATGTGTATTGCCTTGTTTTTGGTTCAGTGTGTTGACTTTAGTAATGTGCACAGTCTCCATAATTTTTGTATTAATGCTATACTGGTATTGGTTGTATTAAGAGTGATGATTTTTGGTATGAAATATCTCGCAGATCAGATTTCAGATTTAATAGTTTTGAATGCAAAACTTTTGCACCTACCTGATAGATTCCCTGGGAAAACACTGACTGAAAAAAAAAGATGTGTTGAACCAAAAAAATCTTAATTTCTTAGACAAATCTGGGTTTTCCAGATACATATAGGGACCTATCAAAACCATGTGAGTTTGGGACATCTTTTGCTATGTTGTTTTAATGCCTCCATATAGGGTCTGGTATTGGTTGTATCTTCATGGTTAGTGCTTTGTTTCATACTCTCAACCTTTTCGTTGCTCAAGCTAGCATATTTTGAATTATTTATGACAATCAGTTGGTGACTCCTGCTATTAATATGCTTTTCTAATTTTCATAGGCATTATTATATACATACACATATTCTAAAATGTTCTAACTTGTTTTATGGTCATTTACCTAGACATATTGTGATTATTTTTGTGATTAAAATTACAGAATTATATTTTGTGTTGTCTTTCTTGAGCTGGAAGTGTTCAACCTCAACTTATTAAAGAAGTTATTTTTTTTTAAGTCTAAACATATATCCAATAAAGTAAATCAGATATGGTCTGTAGATATTCATATTTTTGACTGTGCAATGCAAAACAAAACAAAAAAAAAAACAAAAACAAAAAGATTCAGGATTTAATAAACAGAGGATATTCAATGTTTTGTAGTTGGATGTGGAATTTATTTCATAAGAGGTATAGGATTTTTTAAAAATATATTTTCCAGAGTGTGGAGCTTAATAGAATGTATTCCATTATAGTCCAACTACTGAACATTTAATTTGAATGTTTATTGTATTGTCTTCTGGTACCAAACATGTTCCTGTTGTTATATTCTCTGTGAACATATAACACATTGTTTTCACAATGTGAAAATATCAAGTTTATTCACCAGATAAATTACAGTATTTCACTATTAAAAATGTAATTAAGAAAATTATCACCACATTCTACATGTCAAAGTACATGCATTACACAAGCATGATTGAATATTTATTACATGTGATACCTTTTAAATGCCAGAAACCTGCTGGACCACCACACTTTTATCATGTGAATCCTGTTTTTGTATTCATATCTGAATGAATTTTGGTAAGTGGTGTTCTACGATTGTCTTGCTTCTGTGGCTACAGCGAGGTTGAAAGCTGAATTTTAATTTCTTGTTTTTTTCTTTCCTTTAGATTTTCACAAGGATTAACTTGGCTAAGAAGGAAAATTATGTGCAAAGTTATGGATCATGACCCTTTTTAATGTCTGTAGAAAGTTTTAGTGGTACTCATAATTACTACTACATCTTAATGGGTTTATACCGGTAGATGAAAATCTTAAGTTTGGTTTTAAATACATGTATGATGATTTTATTGGTCTTTAAGGATACATACCACAAACCAATTTTCCTTATCTTCCACACAGAAGAGTTGCATTGCTTTTTTCAATATTTCTTTCAATAGAAATTTAATTGAGAAATTCAAATTGTGTAAAATGTAAGAATACACTTTTGAAAATGTTCCCATAAACTCTGCAATAATAAATCTTCATATATTTCTATAACTTTTCAAAAGTTAAGTTGAATTATCAAGTTACATTTTCACAGTTTTCACCATATTGTGTGGCTTGGCCAAAAATAAAGTTGTTTAACTAAACAGATATCACTTTATTGAGAGAGGCACCTATTTAAGCAAAGATACTTGAACTTTGAAAGATAGGCCCGTAGATGGGGGCACTTTTTTCCTTAGTATTCTGCTATAGTAAATTTTCATCTTCATGCTGGTTGCCCCCTCCCCCTTTTGTTGCTTTAAGGTCAAGCACTTGCAAATTACAGGATTTGAACAGTTCCCCCATTTTAATTTGGCTTGTCAGATTAATTTGAAAAGCCCCCCCCCCCCCCTCACACACTTTTTCTTTTTGTCTGTCCTCTTTTTTTTACTGTTGCTATGGGCCTGAAAGATAAAAAATTGTGTTATTTATCTTTCATTGTGGATAGATGTATGATGCAGCTAATAAGATAGCTTTCCAAAAATTGTTGGCATGAGAATTGATCTGGAGAATCTGATATACATGTATTTTGCTTCTCTGTGTTGCACGAGTACAGAAACACCCTTATAGCCAGTGTAAATCATCCTTTTAAAAAGCTAATTGGACATAAAACGTAACCTTGAGCTGTGAAAAAAAGTTTTTTGTTTTTTAGTCATAAGTATATGTATGTCATGTTTAAAAGACCAGTAGCCCTTTTTCACAAAAAATCATAAGTTTTCGCTTAAGATAGAAATATGTCGTAAGATTTTTTGTGAAAAGGTCCACAGGAAGATTATTTTATAGAAGAAAAAACTATTTAAGGTCATACTGGGAAATTAGGTCAAGTTAGAAATTTGATGGGTCAGCAAAGAAAAAGGTTTACCCCATGTACATGTTCTCATTAATTACACAGCTGGAGACATGAACAGAATTTGGATACCGGTATGATCAGATAATACAGTGAATAATAAGGCCAACAAAGAAAGCACATGTCCAAAAATAATTATCTATCATGTCCAAAAGAGTATTAAATGTAATTTCCAAAAAAAAAAAAAAAAAAAAAAAAAAAAAAAAAAAAAAAATCAAAATTAGGCATTTCACTTATTTGAAGTTTTGAGTTCTGTAGGCCTACAATTCAATTCGATTCAATTCATTTATTTACCAATCACAATGATGCACATTGAAGTGGTAAAATTTTCCGTTTGAGCTTTTTTTTTGACACGCCCATACTTTATAAAGGCGGGGGAGCGTTTTATTCGTTGTAGGGGCGAGCGGGCGGGAAAATTTCAGTCTGCACCGAGAGACAGCCCTCGATTGTCGTACATTTCTTACATGCATTATTTGAATACCTGTAGAATAGGTATTTATTAAATATAATAGCCAATCATATTGGCAGTCTACATAAACACCGGGTAAACACGTGTTCGATCGATACAAATGTGATAACTAAACCGGGAGGGGGGGGGCTTATACCCCCCCCACTTTTTTGCAAAGATAGACATAACATAGGCATTGAAAATTGGGGCTTAGCCAACAATCATTTTTATGATGGTTTAGCTTCCCCACCCCACCCCACACTTTCAATTTGCTTCCGACGCCTATATGAATAGAAATGACAAATATATACATGCAATTATGTACATATTCGTTGCAATACGCGTTTTATAGAGGCAGGTAGTCTCTTTCTCCCCAACTTTAGGTTCCAATTTCTATTTGCAACAACAAAAACTTATATTACATTATGTTGGAGGATTAGACCATTAGGGGGCAACCTGTCTGCCAATGAAAGTTAAAACTGACCTTAACAAAATCTTGGTCGCCGTATTGATGTAGGTCTATGTTTAGCATTAGAACCATTAAGCATTTGTTATTCCAAAAAAAAGTATCGAAATTTACGATATAGTTTATGATGCAGAAAAAAATGGCGGTGCTTTTACCAGAGACACAAAAGAATATTAATGTCTCTGGTGCTATCGCATAACCTCATGTTACTGTTGTCTTTGAATTGCCAGTCATATAGTAAACGTTATACATGGGCCATATCGCTCATCCGAGCATTTTGGCAAGAGAAAAGCAGAAATCAGCTTGAAAAGTTTAAATATATAATTGGTCGCAATACCCCCCCCCCCCCCCCAGGGAGAGGAGAGGGTGGATGATTTGAACAAACTTGAATTTACACTAACTGAAGATGCTTCCATATCTTTGTGACTAATCATGGCTTTAATTAAAAAGATTTTTTTTTTTTTACAGATTTTTTTTCCTATGTAAAAGTTTGATCTTCTGTTGTGGCCCCGCCCTACCCCCTGAGGTCATGATTTGGAAAAAAAAACTTAAATCTTAAAACTTAAAAAAAAATTAATAAATATGACTAATCATGGCTTTTGCTGTTCTTGAAGAGAATTTTTTTTAAGATTCTTCCTGTATATTCTTATGTAAACTTTCATTGGCCATTTTGGCCCTATCCTACCCCCAAGGGTCATAATTTGAACAACCTTGAATCTACACTACCCGAGGATGATTCCATATAAATAGGACTAATTATGTTCTTAAGGAGAAGATTTTTTAAAGATTTTCCCCTACATCTTCCTATGTATAACTTTGATCCCTTACGCTGTGTCCCTATTCTACCCCAGAAGGTCATGATTCGAACAAACCTACCCTACCTGAGGATGCCTTTGTATTAATATGAATCCCTGGCTTTTCATGAGGCGAAGATTTTTAAAAAGATATATTTCCTGTAGGTTTCCTGTGTGTAACTTTGATCCCCTGTTGTGGCCCCGCCCTACCCCAGGGGTCATGATTTGAATAAATTTGAATCTACACTATGTAATGAAGCTTTCGCATGTTTCATATTTTTTGGCCCTGTGGATCTTTGGATTTTTTAAAATGCATTTAAAGATCTTAGAACTAATTCTTATTTATTTCTCTTTGAAAGAGGGCGTGTCCCTTCATGTGAAGAAATTTGAATCCCCTTTACCCAAAGGATGCTTTGTGGCAAGTTTGGTTGGAATTGGCTCAGTAGTTCTGGAACAGAAAATATAAGTGTGAAAAGTGTACGACGACAATGACAGACAACGGACAAAAGCTCACGTGAGGCTTTGACTCTGGTAAGCTAAAAAGTAGTCGTATTGTATTTTCTAAATTAGTAAAGAAAAAAGCGAAATTGTCGTTAAAATCAGTATTAGACCTGCATACACGATAGATCTATGCGGGTATCCTTTTCATGGGGATTTTTAAAAATCAAAGTCGGGTTCGACACATGACGTTGGACTCTTTTTAAAAACGAGATCGGCCTACGTAAAATCGAAACTATTTTCCATTTCATCGCACCTGTTGCCAAAAAAAAAAAAAAGAGAGAGAGAAAATCGATTATTTTACGCCTAATGATTAATTTGCAAACCAGTAAACGTACAGATCAAATAGGAAGATGATGGAGAATGACGAAAGGGTTCCAGATGTTCACAAAGAAAAGAAAGAGATGAGTCTTCAGGAAAAAATCGACTACTTTGATAGAGAAATTCGTCTGCTTCATCAGTTTTGCATCAATTCCGGATACAACAAGCAGGAAATTCGACAGTCAGCGAAGCCTTTCCTTCTTGCCACTGACCCTTTGGCGTGGCAGAAGACGAAAAGGAAGCTAATACTTCTTGGTGTCATTATAGCCGCTTTTGCTGCGTTGTATTATTGTGATCCAGCTTACAAGTTTGTTTTGGCTGTCAGCAGAATCACGGCTATAAAGGTATAAAATCCCTAGCTTAAATTTATGCATTTAAGTAAATAAGCCAAGTGAGAATTAATTTAAAGACATGCGCATCAAATGAACTTAAAAATGTCTTGTGTGATTAAAGAGTATGTGCCTTTTCAGTGATTTTTCTACATTTTTTAAAAGGGGCCTGGGCCTGGGCCTTTACCATTGGGAAAAATCATCAACATTTGTGTCAAATTGGGAAAAATCAATAAGATTGTAATTAAAACTTAATTGACAAGAAATCAAATATATAAGTAAATGACTGTAAATGTTAGATAATTTATTCAATTTATTTGCTACAAAATAAGAAATTAGACACAGTTCTTAATTTTCAACCTTTTTTTTTAATCTTTGAAAGTTGTAATTAATTGTGACCAACCTATTTTTCCTTTTTTTTTTTTCTGTTTTGCCATAATGGTAAACATAAGAGAAAATCCTTCTCGTAATAGCCATTGAAGATAGAATAATCTGACATGATTTATGACAAATCATTTATTTTTCAAACTAATTATTAAAGCTTTCTAATTACCCTAGCTTATCATATTGCTGCAATTTCTCTGCAATACTATTTGCATCTGCTGGATGTAGAAAGAGTTTGATTTTTGTGGACTCAGTGATAATTGTTGTAGAACTACTAGTACTTGGATTTACGAATAAAACTATCTTACACTTTCATACGATGTATTTACAGACAAGTTTGACATGACCCATATGTTTTTCTAGGTCTTGTAAATGCACAAAGTAATCTGCAGTTCCTTAATTACTATTATTTTAAGAGTCTGAATGACCGAGAACAATAGTGTTCCATTTTAGATAAGTCGTATGTAAAAAAAAAATTCAGTATAACAAAAAAAATACTGTTTTGTTTTGGGAAAAAGCAAAAGTGAATGGGAAAAAATCGGTAATTTTTGAGAGGGGAAAGGGCCAATATTTGGACCTAAATTGGGTGTAGAAAAATCACTGTTTTTATACATGTATGCATTTTCATTTCTAACTTCCAGTGCCCATGATTAGTACAGTATATGTAGATAAGAGAGAATTAGAGATAGATTCTTTCATATCAAACATCATAGCAAAGAGGCCAGTTAGAATAATCTAACTGTGTCTTGGGACAAGCCCTCACATTCTATCTAAGAGGCACTCTGCCAATATACATGTAATGTAAGGCTACACATGTATCTGTTGATTATTACTTGTGCACGTGACTGCAGTCTTTATAATGTTCTTGGAGATGATTTTTTAACAATTAAATAATAGACAAAAGTTTAATTATTTCTGATCATGGCCCACAGAGAGAAAGACAATGATAAAATTATACAAAATGAAATGCATGAAATATATACATAACATGCATAAAGAACAAATTGTGCTTCAAAAGTGATGTTCATAACCTTAAGTGATTGGAGTGATTTCCAAGTTGAAATAGAATATCAATATTCCACATATAATATGGTCTTAAATATTTTTGACACCCATCTAAAACTTTTAAAATTTTATGTTTCTTTGCTTCATTAAATAGTTTGATTCTTTTCTCATTGTAAAAAGGACAATCTTTGAGATTGTATTTTATTTTTCACTGCATTCAGATTCAGATTTATATTTTTCACATAATTTTCTTGTATTATGACTTCTTTTCATGCCAGCATATCTACCAGTTTTGATCTTATAAAGCTAAAATGGCCTTGCATGTCTAATATGTGAGGTATACATCTCTCATATGATAGAGACAGGCAGAACCAGTCTAGATCTTAAGATAATCAGAAGATATTCTGAACCTGACAATGCCCAGGTCCTTCTGAGATTAAAGTTAAATAATTCTGCATAGTGGAATTGCTTTTAATTAAGCTTATCATAAGAATCTAGCTTTCCAGAAGAGTTTTAACTTTAATGTTGAGTCAAGAGCAAATAAACTTTCTGCAGATTTTATTATCGACATTATTGAAGTTTGACTTTGGAAAGACTCAAAGAGGATCAAGGCATTTTTTCATATATTTCTAAATATTTAAAAACATATGAAAGCAAGCAATATGACACAAAATGGTTGTAGTCCAATGACATCAAAATCATCACTTCATGACTGAAATTTTTTAAACAATTTGGAATCAAAATGAGCATTTCAGTGCAAAAAAAACTATCTGTGACAGTCAACTTAATTAAAATGTTCCTTTTGCTTGTGACCATGCCTAAAGATCTAAACCATCTTGCACCATGTATCAAGAGCCTGACTACAAAATACATAAATATTGCCTGACTACAAAATACATAAATATAGTCAGTTATGAGCTACTCTTTCAGCTGGGGCTGCACGGCTAGGAGGCACGTCCCCCGGGTGGCGGATAGGGGATCCCTCACTTAGTGAGGGATGCACAGGATAGACTGAAGAAGGTGTCGTGGACCAACGCAGCATAAGGGAAGGACACCCTGATAAAAAACCACTGGTCCTCTAAGCTTGGGGGTTGGGCAGGAGGCCAACTACCTCTTCCCAGAAAAAAACGACAGTTACTGAAACAATGGACATCAAAGAGCAGAGAAGACCGGGTGAAGCGGGGACAGTGGCAGTAAAACGACAAAGGGTAAAGGCCTTAGGGAAGCCAAGCATCCGACTAGATCCCTTGTGACACCCAAACAAACATTCACCATCGGACACTGGAATGTGCGTACAATGTACAGAGGAGGGGCTTCAGCACAGATTGCGAGAGAAATGGAAGGATACCAACTGGACGTTTTGGGAATCAGTGAGAGCAGATGGACAGGAGCTGGGAAGATGAGACTGGCCTCGGGCCAGACCGTCATATACAGTGGGGATGAACTGCATGAGGGAGGAGTTGCCATAATGATCGAAAAACCAGATTGACAATTTTCTCATTAGTGGACAGTGGAGATCTTCTGTTCTTGATACCAAGGTCCAGAGGGGAGCGGATGCTAACAGCGACCACTACCTGGTGAAGACCCGAATCAGGCTACGGCTCAGCACACACAAGAATAAGAGCAAGTTGAAACCAAGACTGGATGTAGAACGCCTCAAAAACAAAGAAGTAATAACAAAGTTCAATGACTGCGTGAGAAAAAAATTAGAAGAACACTGGGAAAAGACTGAAGATATCGACAAAATGTGGGAGCAGCAGAAGATGGCATATGTGAACTCAGCAGAGGAAGTACTTGGCTACAAGAAAGGCAAAAGCAAGCCTTGGATCAGCGAAAACACCTGGAAGTTGATAGATGAAAGAAAAGACATCAAGGTAAAGATAGAAAGCACAAGATCAGAAAGAGTCAAGACTAGATTGAAGGAAAATTACAGGGAGAAAGACAAAGCAGTCAAGAAAAGTGTGAGAGAGGACAAGAGAAGATGGATGGCAGAGAAAGCTGAGCGAGCACAGAAAGCAGCCAAGAATGGGAGGCAGAAGGAACTGTACAGCATAGTTAAGCAGCTGACACGAAAGAGTAATAAACAAACAGCAGCGGTGAAGAGCAAAGATGGAGAGCTGCTGAAAAATAAAGAAGCGAGGCTTGTCAGATGGAGGGAACATTTTGAGGAAGTGCTCAACAGGGACACTCCAGAGTCAGCACCACAAGATGAACTTGAGGAGGGAGAAGAGCTAGACATCTCAGTTGATCCACCCACCACACAGGAAATAAGGGCTGCAGTGAACACGCTTCGGAATGGGAAGGCCCCTGGAGCAGATCAAATAACTGCAGAAATGCTAAAGGCAGATCTGGATAAGAGCAGCCAGGAACTGAAGCACACCTTCGACCAGATATGGAAGGAGGAAAAGGTGCCCAAAGAATGGACCAGAGGACTGATCTGCCTAATTCCCAAGAGAGGCAACTTACAGGACTGCAGCAACAGGAGGGGAGTGACATTGCTGCCCCTAGCCAGCAAAACACTCAGCAGGATTCTCATCAACAGAATACAGACCGGAGTTGACCACACCCTTAGGAAAGAGCAGGAAGGGTTCCGGAGAGGGAGAGGGACTGTCAATCAGATCTTCATCCTCAGGAACATCCTGGAGCAAGTCAACGAGTGGAATGCTACCCTGTACATCCATTTTGTGGACTTTGAGAAAGCTTTTGACTCGGTGCACAGAGACAGCCTTTGGGTCATCATGAAGAAATATGGAATACCCATAAAACTGATTACGATGGTCAAAGCCCTCTATGACAATTTTCAGTGTTCTGTGATTGATGACAATGGGACCACAGACCCTTTTCCTGTGATGACTGGTGTCAAACAAGGATGCTGCATGTCAGGTTTCTTGTTCCTCCTAGTTATAGACTGGGTGATGAAACAGACTGTCAGAGAAAAGAGAACAGGAATTAGATGGGACTTCACCACTATGCTTGAAGACCTTGACTTTGCAGACGGCATTGCCCTACTGTCATCAGCAATGAACCATCTTCAGTCCAAGACAACATAACTGGAAGAAAACTCGGCAAAAGTTGGGTTGAAGCTAAATGCCAAGAAGTGCAAAGTGATGAAGATAAACAGCAAAAGTGAAACCAGCCTGACAGTCGGAAACAGTGAAGCCAACGAGGTGGACAGCTTCACTTACCTCGGCGCCAATGTCACCAAGGATGGAGGAGGCACTGTTGACATCAGGAAGAGGATAGCACTGGCCGGCGCATCCTTCAGGAGGCTAGCCAACATCTGGAATGCTTCAGACATCAGTAGAAAGATAAAAGTCTCCCTCTTTAAGAGCCTGGTCCTCTCTGTATTGCTATATGGATGTGAGACTTGGAAGCTTACCAAGACAGAGGAAAAGAAGATTGACATCTTTCAGACCAAGTGCCACAGAAGGATTCTTAAGGTCAGACGGCAGCAGCATATTTCAAACAAGACAGTTCTGGAGATGGCATCAGCAGAAAGCATCAGTGGCGAGGTGAAGAGGAGATGGAATTGGATCGGCCATGTGCTGAGGAAAGACCCAGCAGATGACTGTGTTGTGGCCCTTGGGTGGATGCTTGAGGGGAGAAGGAAGCGAGGCCGCCCCAAGACAACATGGTGGCGGATGGTGGAAGTGGAGCAAAAAAATGCAGGCTGGAACTCTTGGAACACGGCATGCCATGCAGCCTTAGACCGGCCCCAGTGGAAAAGAGATGTTCAGGCCTTATGTGCCTCCTGGCACAGAGAGAATTAAGGTTAAGGTATGAGCTACTGACTTGTAAATGAATACCAGGGTATAAGAGGTGGAAACTTTACTATTTATATACATGTACAATTAGTAACAACATACTTTATATCTACCGGTATACATGTTTACGCTTACATGTACACAATCCCCTGATTCACTGTTAAAAAGGACAAATTACTGCTATGTGTATATTGAAGTTTATATATGTTTTGTTTACAAATTGTTCTTGCAAACTGAAACAGCTGTTTTAATATGAAAAGTATCAGTGTCACAGTAGAGGGCAACATGTTGGCTGATGCTGTACGTGTCAGTTAATAAGTGATAGTATCATTGATTAAAAATATTTACTGACATATGAATTTTAGCACCAGTGTAAGCCTGTGATATACCTTAAGATTTTATACAAGATGAAATTTACTGCAGTTGAATGGTTACATGCATAATTATACTGATAAGAAGCTATAACTGAAATTATTTAACATTCAAAGAAAAATTTGTTTTTCATCATGATTGATTGTGTTGTATTCTCTCTGTGTGTGTGTATATATATATATATATATATATATATATATATATATATATATATATATATATATATATATATATATATATATATATATATGAAAAAAATTAGCTTTTCAAACGTAAACACCAAAAAACAAGAACAATTTCTATATGAATTGTAAATGGAATATGTTACATATATGGGCGTATGTCATATAGACATGTTTACCATGCCTGCAAATAGACACATTTTACTGGACCACACATTATGAAAGCAAATGTTTTAATTAAATACATAATAGGTAACCTGCAGTTAAATGAAACCACATACAATATTGAAAATTGTTCTCTGCAGTTTGCAATTCAAAAGCCAGAGTTTGACTGCAATAGTCATGTAAAATAGATGTCAGAAAATAAGTAAAAGAATTTGGTGTTGATTTCACATTATGTTTATGTACCCAATAAATTTGTGCAGTGCTATTTATTTGTTGTTAACAGCTGATTCCTGTGTGGGATTGGACCAAGATTCACCAGTGGGAGTGTATGGTTGACAACCCCCTGTATGCTGGAGTTACACTTACAGAAGAAGACTGTGATGTAGGTACATATATATATATATATATATATATATATATATATATATATATATATATATGAGTCCAGCAGGATTTCAGATTCAGGCTTATGTGATGGTAAGGCGTCCATCTGTTTGTCTTTAAATAGCTTTTCAAAATATTACTCCTCCTATAGTTTAAGTTTGATTTCAATAAAATTTGCTTCACAAGTAGACTACACCAATTAAAAACATATAACTCTAATTTGAATTTGATGAACAGTATTGCCATTGTTATTTTATATAAAAAGAAATTTCTGTGAATTTTTTTCAAAACGCTACTCCTCCTACAATTTAAGAGAATTATTAGAAATGTTCAACGTCTAAGGGTTCTGATCTGTAAGTTATCAGTATTAGAAGACATACAAAAAAAACTCCAGTTTATTATCTACAAGGAAAGCAAAAAAAAAAAAAAATGTCAAGAAACAGTTAATAATTAGAAAGTCAAAGTGCAAAAAAATGTTGCTGAAATTAGTTAATCTACATGAGATACTCAAGCTTAATTTTAAGTCCTAGATATAAAGAGACATACCAAAAATCAGTTCATTCATTATCTACAAGCATAGCAAAAATAAGTTTGGAAAACAGTTAATAATTTGAAATTTGTCAAACCTATAAAGGGCAAACAACTTTGGTAAAAATGGATAAAATTCAAACTTGATTTGTAAGTCATCAATATATTATAAAGAGACATACCAAAAATCAGCTCATTATCTACAACCACAGCAAAGTAAAAATCTGGAAAACTGTGAATAATAAAACTTGGTACATAATTCTGTTTATTGGTTCTGATTTTGATGAATAGTAGTGTCATAGTTATTAAAATTAAAAATTTCTGTGAAATTCTATCAAAATGCTACTCTTCCTATAGAATCATGATTATTTTTTTTTTTTATTGGTGTTGGCATAGTTTCAAGTCCAAGTTACTTTTTTTTTTATAAAAACAAACCAGTAGAGCTAAAACAAACCAGTCAGAGACTTCTGGTTTAACACTCAAAATTTAGTGCAGTTTTCCTCATAAACTAATTAGTGCACTTGATGCAAAGCTTTTATATGTATTTGTTTAAATCATATATCATATGTTATTAGAATTAGCAGAAGAGAAGCAGCGTGATTAGGTGCTAAAATATGATTACCATTAAAATACCTTAGTTATGTTTACAGTATATATGCATATTTTAAGCCAGACCTATAACATAAACATAAATTGTGTCCATCTAATACTTAAGGTAAAACCTACAAAAATAATTCTACTACAGAATTCTTCTTTAACTTCATGGTTTATATACATATATAAATTTGTAGATTTGTAAAGATCTCTTGTCTGTGGAAAGAGTCACAAATTTAAGTGTGAAGGATTTCCATGACAACTATCTAAAGCCGGAGCTTCCCGTAATTGTAGAGGATGGGATGAAGGACTGGCCAAAAGAGAAGCTACAAACAGACATCCACACTCTCTACAAGGTTTATACACAGAACAACTATACTATACAATCAAATCTTATACACAGAACAACTATACTATACAATCAAATCTAAAATTTGGCTGGATTATGTTTTCATGATTTTAATTAAATAAAACCCTACACTTCATACCGGTAAATGGAATAACTTTAAAATGAACATTTCTGGAATACATAAAATACTATGTACTACAAGTCTTTGAAAGTCTTAACTTTGAGAATGTTAAGTGGCTGAAATGAAAAGAGTGTGTGTGTGTACCCTCTTTGGTTACCAGGTTATAAGTGCAAGCAGTCTGTAGGAGGAAAGTATTTATATAGTCTTCATTTGCATAAAAACAATATTTTTTTTTCTAGAGCATGAATCAATTTTCTATTCTGGAAACAAATATATTTCCTTCATTGTGATAATCTGATAATCTTAATCTAAGATGAAACTCAGCATTCCAGCAGTTTGCTTCTAATTATATAAAAAGGGGGAGGGGAGGGGGGGGGGTCTTCCGACAATTTTCAATACACAGGATACTGATGATGATACACAATATTAAAATAGGAACTAAATTTTTCCAGGCTTACAAAGAGAATAAAGCCCTTCAAAGGAACCCAGTCTGTGGATTCCACACAGATACAAAATACAGCAACTTCCAGGTGTTTCTACATCAAATTGTTAACTCAGATACACAGTCCTACACAGCAGACTGGTAAGTATCGGGTACACCATTGTTAAAAATCTAACAACAAAGCAATCAGGTACACCAATGTTAAAAATCTAACAGCAAAGTAATCAGGTACACCAATGTTAATAGTCTAACAGCAAAGTAATTAGGTACACCAATGTTAATAGCTAAGTAATTAGGAACACCAATGTTAATAGCAAAGTAATTAGGTACACCAATGTTAATAGTCTAACAGCAAAGTAATTAGGTACACCAATATTAATAGTCTAACAGCAAAGTAATTAGGTACACCAATGGTAATAGTCTAACAGCAAAGTAATTAGGTACCCCAATGTTAATAGCAAAGTAATTAGGTACACCAATGTTAATAGTCTAAAAGCAAAGTAATTAGGTACACCAATATTAATAGTCTAACAGCAAAGTAATTAGGTACACCAATGTTAATAGTCTAACAGCAAAGTAATTAGGCACACCAATGTTAATAGTCTAACAGCAAAGTAATTAGGTACACCAATGTTAATAGCAAAGTAATTAGGTACACCAATATTAATAGTCTAACAGCAAAGTAATTAGGTACACCAATGTTAATAGCAAAGTAATTAGGTACACCAATGTTAATAGTCTTACAGTAAAACAATCAGGTACACCAATGTTAATAGTCTAACAGTAAAACAATCAGGTACACCATTGTTAAAAATCTAACAGTAAAGCAATCAGGTACACCAATATGAATAGTCTAACAGCAAAGTAATTAGGTACACCAATGTTAATAGTCTAACAGCAAAGTAATTAGGTACACCAATGTTAATAGCAAAGTAATTAGGTACACCAATGTTAATAGCAAAGTAATTAGGTACACCAATGTTAATAGTCTAACAGTAAAACAATCAGGTACACCATTGTTAAAAATCTAACAGTTAAGCAATCAGGTACACCAATGTTAAAAGACTAACAACAAAGCAATCAGGTACACCAATGTTAAAAGTCTAACAACAAAGCAATCAGGTACACCATTGTTAAAAATCTAACAACAAAGCAATCAGGTACACCAATGTTAAAAGTCTAACAACAAAGCAATCAGGTACACCAATGTTAAAAGACTAACAGTAAAAACAATCAGGAACATTTAATGTTGAATGTCTAACAGCAAAGCATTCCCACATTGTAGATTTATACTTGAACAATTTGTTAATTCCTATGCATATGTGGTATTCAGATTTATAGTTGCAGGAGAATCCCAGCTGTTCATTGTGTTTATGTTGAGCATTGAAGCTTCTTTTGAGATACATGTATTTAGGGTGTTTTGTCTAGTCATCAGCTGTAGATGGTTTATCCATCAAGGTGATTTAAGCAGAGTTATTTCCCATGGCCACCATATTGTAGGTCTACATTCCCAGATCCCTTCATTATTCAACCAAGTTCAATTTGTTATACTGGGCACTGCGGTGAAGATAACACTGTTTTTCTTATGAATATACGTTTGTTAAAGCTTCTTTTAATTCATAATTTCAATATTGTAAATATTTTTCACCATATATATTTGGTATGCGTTTTTAAAATTAGTTGCTCAAAGAGGAAAATTCACTATTTTGACCTACAAGATGGCGGCCAAGGGGAATAACTCTGAGGAAAAATACGTCATAGGAAAACCATTTATAGAGTTTGTTCCTTGAAAAAGGTTCTAAAGCAACACTTTAAGATTTGTATGAATTCTTGTTGACTATAGCTATGTACAGTTCTTTAAATTAAAACAACCTTTATTCTTATATATGAAATGATTGCTGTTTTATTTTCATTGTAGAAGTTTAGATATATGTATCAGTGATCTATGAAAAGTAAATAAATCTTGTGCAAAGGAATACATATTGCAAAAGAGGTTCAGATCTTATATTGATATTTTTTCCCCAGGGAAAACTGCTTAAAAGAAGGGGCTAAAGCCTTCCGAAGCTTCTATCAGAGACCTTACTTCCTGCCTCAGACAGTAGAGATATCTGATACTAATTGGGTATTTGTCTCGAAAGGATCAGTAGAACACCATTACGATGTAAGAGTTAAAAAATTTATTATAAAAAAAAATTCCCAGTGTTAAAGGTTGTCAAATTATAAATAATTAAATAAGATGTACATAGTAGATAGATTTTTCTGATAGGTTTTATCTGCTTGTTTATGTTTTGCACAGGTTCCACTTTCTAATCCATTCCTGATGTTAATACCCTTGAAGGGTCAGTTTGAGATAGCACTTTCTCCAAGAGAACCTTGCTCCAAAGCTTGTGTGGATGTTTCTGCGGACTTGCATGAAGGAAAAATAAGTAAATAAATCTTTTATTCTTTTAGGCTATTGAAATCTATATTGAAAGGGAGATAAATTGTGATCCATTATCACGTATTACAATAAATAAAGTGAATTTAAACATATTCTTTTGCTCTTTTTTCAGTGATAGTAAACATGGCTGACTTGCTGTGGTTTAAATCTTACCGACCCACTGGGTCAGGAGAAAATATTCTGATAGGGGTTGGTGGATCGTATGAATGATGTTCAACTAAGAGTCAATACAACATACGCAAGGAGATCTTTTGAAATCATGAACCATTGAATCAAAATAAAACAGAATAGATTTGCTTGTTGTATCATTTTTTACGTCCTGCCATGAATATGGCATTTAATGTGTGTCATGTCTGTCTACCATCCTTCCATTTGCCTATCACTCCTTGCATTTACGGTAGTTCAATTACAAGGAAACTTAGATATTTTTATCACAGTGACTAGAATCATGTCCATAGGGAATGAATACCCTACCCAAGGAACATTTGTATTGTAACATGTAAAGAAATGTACCTTGCTTCGTCCATCTGAACTAATAGCAAAACATGATATAAGAAGAAATAATTTTTACTCCCTTTTTAGCTGACCTGAGCTGAAAGCTCAAGTGAGCTTTTATGATCGAAATTTGTCCATTGTCTGTCATCGTCGTTGTAAACTTTTCACATTTTAATCTTCTTCTCAAGAACCACTGGGCCAATTTCAACTAAGCTTGCCACAAAGTATCCTTGGGTAAAGGGGATTAATGTCATGCAGTACTCAGCTCTTTTTCATGCATTCGTAGAGAGCCAAAACAATAAATAAATTATATGATTGGGGTTCAGTAAGGGTTTTTAATTCAAAAACTATTCATCCCTTTGAAAGAAATCTCTTGAACCCCTAAGTGCCCCATCCATCTGGTTTGGTCAACGTCACCAGTATCGTATTATGACAAAAATGTTTTAAGTAAGATACAAAACTCGGTCTATTATGTCAGATATGGGGCTTTGCATCTCGTCCCAGTCCCGTATCTGACATATTAGACCATCTTCGTCTTGAATCCCTTACATAGAGCAGCACTTCAAGAGACTAAGAAGATGGGCGTTCTTGGCGTGCGATCTGCAGGAATCATGTGTACGAAACATCTATGGTTTAAATGTCCACGATTTGGTCGGTAACCATTAGTGGATAGACCTTACAAAGTTAAGCACATACGAAAATGGTTAGATTTAAATTGAAATCGCTTGCAAATTTGAAATATTTTAGTCTACTTATCTTAATAGTTACGATAACACAGTAATGCTTCATGTAAATAATAAACACCTAACAAGATAATAGGGTATGATCATGATGATATATGAAATGAAATTTCAGTACGTTTGAAAAATTGCTTTCGCTCTCCGTGCAACTGAACCAAAATTTATCTTTCGTGAAACTTTTATAATCAGTAAATAAAATTCAACTAATAAACAACTTGATTGTATAAAAAAAAAAAAAATAAAATGCTCCATGCGAGGATCGAACCAAAAATTTCTCGACACCTAAGTGCGCTGGACTGGTAATGCATACTACTGAGCTATCATTGCTACACAAACATCATGTAATTTTAAAATGACAAAGAAGCAACGCATTTATACATTGGTATTTATTTTTGGAAAAAGTTCATTTTTAATAGTCTCTGGGTCTTCTCTCCATTTTTTACAAATGTTTGTTCGTTTCTTTGAATGCATATCCACACAAATGTCTTTTTAAAATCGTGGAGAGATGACTTAGAGATAGCAAATCTTTAGAAAAAAGTGTTTAAAAATGTCAAATTTTGTACTAAATGACTCATCTAGCCATGTTTCAAGTTATTTTTAAGGAAATCAAAACATACTAATAGGGAAAATATTTTCCTTTCCTATATATTTCATAGGAACATAATACATCAAAAGAATGTTAAAATTTAATTTGACAATTCAATAGTTTTCACTTTACAAGTGCGCCCTGATTCCTGCTGAATGCCAATCAAAAGCGCCCTCGTTCTTTTGTGGATTCAGGGAGCCTCAGAGTCTGCTTACACCTTCTTCTGGCAAGGAAAGAAAGCAGATGGACCAAAACAGTAGTGTTGGTTTTGCCGTGTGAAACACTCCCTTGGATATAAGCCAACTTGGCCACACAGTTACTGATTGCCTCATGTCACTAATCAAAATCAATACTGATGGTTCAGTCAACCTGCTCTGTGCCTATGCCCAAATACTTTCAGCTTCAGATGAATCAAAAGATGCATTCTACAGCATGATTCAAGGCCTCAGCAAACAGGAAAACCTTAAAGTATTGATATCTTCTTTAGGCCACAAGGAGTTGTGATAATAAATTTCATTGCAAAATCTAAGGCTTCTTCTTAAGATTTTGCCCTGAAATGAGTGTTATATACAAAGTGTATGAATTGATGTCCTTGACCTTTTGACCTCAAAATCATAGGGATCTTTTAGACCATAAAATGTTTCACACAAACAGAATAACAGACAGACAAATAAAAGCAGGGGACAAAAAATTTGCTTAACTTGCCTCAATGATTGTTACAGCCTTGTTATACATATATCTTGAAAAAGTTTCTTTGAAACCGAGGTAAATGCAAAATGATTGATAGTAAGGTCATAGGAAAGGTCAAGGTAAAAAAAAAAAACTTAGTTATACACTGTATTGATCACGTACACCAACATGTGTATAAAGTTTGATAAAAATATCTTGGAAGTTTGTATGTTGTTTAACGTCCCTCTCGAGAATTTTTCACTCATATGGAGACGCCACCATTTGCCGGTGGAGAGCTTCAAATTTTGTCCTATACTCGGCACTTACAGCCATTGAGCAGTGAGGGATCTTTTTCATGCCAGCAACTTCTGCGACACGGGACCTCGGTTTATACGGTCTCATCCGAAGGACCGGTCTCCACGTCCCCCAATGGGATTCGAAGCCGTAATGTAAGGATCAACTCCTTACTTCACGACTCTAGAGCTGACGCTCTAACCACTGTGCCACGCGGACGACTGAAAGTTTGTTTGAAATTGAACTAAACAGTGTTTGACAGAAAGACAAACATGACAATCACTTAGTCCCATATTCATGTCAGGTGATAAAAATTCATCCAATACATATTGGTGAGTTATTCAACTGTGTCATAATTTTTCACCTTAACCTCCCTTTGACCATGAACTCGCCAATCCTCATTCTGTGGTTAACTTAGTAAGGTCATATGTTCACAAATACCAATATGAAATCAAATTCATGTGGTTAATAGATGTATGAGCCGCTGTGATGTGAAAAGTTACCGTAAATAAGGCAAATGAATATTGCGAGGGAAAAAATGACAAATTAATTTTAAACGCACAATTGTTACATTTTTACAATAATTAAATAGAATTGTGAGCCAAAACAATATACATTTGGCAATCCTAGAGTACTGAAATGTATATAGTTCCTGTGTATTCTATGGCACAGTGACAAGGTTTAATACTAGGGTATTGATTTGTAGATTTCTAAAGGATTTAATAAAGACTAGAAATGTCCATAGGACATGAATGCTCCCCCCAGGGTATATTAGTAATGCAACATGAAAATTTGTATTAGTCTGTGAAATTTGATGAGAATATCTTGAATAGTTTCTTTAAAATTGAAAGCTAAAATGTTGGATATAGATGATAAATTCTCACCAAATTATGTATAAGTGCATAAGCTTACATAAATACATCTTAAATGGTTTCTTTAAAACTAAACAAAATGCAAATTGAAGAAAAGTGAGGTCAAGGTCACAGGAAAGTTCAAGGTCAAACATTTTTGATGCAGTTGAATAATTCTCACAAATACATAGCAGCATATTAAGTTTGATAAAAATGTTTTGAATGGTTTATTTAAAACTGAGCTAAACACTAATTTAAAATAAATGAAGTTAAGGCCAAAAGAAAGGTCAAGGTCAAAAAATGTTGATGTAGTTGAAAAGCTTGCATCAGTACGTATTAGCATATGAAGTTTGATAAAAATATTATGAATGGTTTCTTTAAAACTGAGTTAAACACAAATTGATAAAACAGGTCATGGTCAAAGTCAAAAATGTTGATGCAGTTTAATTGCTTACATCAGTATATATCAGCATATGAAGTTTGACACTAATTTAAGAAAAGTGAGATCAAGGTCAAAGGAAAGGTCAAAAAATGTTGATGCAGTTGAATAGCTTTTATCAGTATGTATCAGCATATGAAGTTTGATAAAAATATCTTGAATGGTTTCTTTAAAACTGAGCTAAACACTAATTTACGAAAAGTGAGGTCAAGGTCAAAGGAAAGGTCAAGAATGTTGATGCAGTTGTATATCTCTCATCAATATCTATCAGCATATGAAGTTTGATGAAAATATCTTGGATAGTTTCTTTGAAACTGAGCTAAACGCAAAGCGCGACGGAAGACGGACATGACAAACACTATATGCCCCGGCCATTTTCATGTCTGGGCATAAAAATTACACTGAATGTAAATATTTCATGTTTAACACTGACAGATGATTCTTTTTTGCAGGGGACATAATTATACTTCAAACAAAATTAGCAATTTTAGTTCTTAACATGACAATAAATGCTTCATAATACTGCAGAAACAACACACAACCAACTCCACTATTTAATTAGTGAATTACTTAATACATCAAAACATTATTTCATAGCCATAACAATCATGATGCTGGCATCAATACAGATTAAAAAAAGATTATCAACACAACAAAATATGAAGATCTAACTAAGTTCAGTATATGATTGGTGGCATCGATCTTGTTGTTCACAAATATGGTTCTTAACAAGGAAATTTTGTTGAAGCACAAGAAAAATATTGTTCATGATCATGAATTCAATCACAAAAATCACGTAAAATCTGGTGAGTGATGAATAAAGTTGATGAAGAAATATGGTTAACATCTTTCACGATGGATAGTAATGCTGACCATAACCCCACTGCTGATGAGGATAGGAATAACCACTATTCTGTAAATCAAGATATATATACATGTACTTATTTTGAAGACTTAAAACATCACTGCGTGTATTCATTAACAATTGCCTGTACAAGACTTACTGCATAAGATCCCCAGTGACCATAATAAGGATCCATTCCTGCCATTTGGCTTGGGTCTCCAGATCCATTCTGTGTTCCTTCCACTTTTTGTTTTTTATCCAAAGGTTCATCACTATAAAGATAGAATAATTCCAAGATTTTTCACCTTGTGAGTTTTAGCATAAATGCATTGCAGTAATTTCACCAATGTCACTAAATTCAAGCATACCAGTGTCAAGATTTCAGTCAGTGTTAAATTTTCAGTAAAAGCTTTACCTTTGTTAAATCATGCTATGACAATGAACAATATATAAACAGTGCATGTTTTTGAGGGCAACAGTTAAAATTGACACCCTAATAGAACAACAATGGTTAACCGACATGTCAGCAGAGGTTGACAAAGACTTTCTCTTGGGGTGTCATTTTCAACTGTTCCCCTTACAAACTTGCACTATTTATTACATTATATTGAATGTCTCATATACATGTAACATGTCAACAATAAAAAATTCAGATATCGTTCACATTTTGAATACAGCTTTCAAACTCTCTGCTTCTGTTTTTCTCAACAAGAAAACTTCAAAAAAAAAAAAAAAGATTCAAAGACCTCTTTATTGTCTTTGCATGATACTCTTGGAGTCCTTTATCATCTAAAGGTCCATTTGTTTCTGCACTTGCTCGCATTTTTCATCTGAGGTTTGTTGTTATATCAGACGCATACTTTAATCGATATCGAGTTTATTAAGCACATTATCATTAAGTTACTTGTTGCCAAGTGTGTTGCCAATGCTGAGGGTTACATTACAAATTGCTGAATGCATCTAAACCAGTCTGTTTCTAGTATTTAACATGAAAGTATAATAAAGTAAATTATATTAAAAAAGAAAAAAGAGTTTTCAGTCAAAGCTACATATTATGCATGCTTTGAATCCTGGGTATCAACTTACTTAGTCGCACCATCATGAGATCTCTTCTTCCTTTCATTGTGAAGTTCCTTCATCAGTCTCTGATGTTCATCATAAGATTCCTTCAAACTATTAAAAAAAATAATCTATTGTTTTATTTAAAAATAGGTAACTATTTCGTTGAATGAATTAATGATAAATTTGATATAAGGTAATAACATTCCTAAAACATGTTTTTGAAACTTGCTTTTTTATCAGTATGTTCAAATAAAATGCTGAATTTTTACATACGTTGTGATGCTGGCACAGAAGTCCTCCAAGAACTCAAGCTTGCGCTGAGACATCTTGGCTTTGGTTTCCAGAGGGAAGTTCTCACAGTCCAGGATAGAGGCAAATATTTGGATGACTCTCTCCTCACTGATTGGTCGTAATTGGTACTCCAGATCTAACAGCTGCAGGTAGAGTTTAATGTTGCCCTGAAAAATATAAAAAATGACATCCTACAAAGACCTTGTAATACGACAATTAGGTGGTCATCTCCAACAAGCGGTCCTCTCTATGACGACAAGATTACAAGACTTTGTATCACATTAGCATTACCTCTGGCCGGCCAAACTCATAAGCTTTAAAGGTTCCAACTGAAAATAATGATCAACATGATAAGAATGGTAAGTAACCTGTCCGTTGAAGCTGTGCTTTATATTTGTGTTCACACTTGGTGACTAACTGAGATCATGCATATTAGTCTTACCCTATCTTTTTCTACAGCTGACTGAAGAGTGGTACGTGCCCGTTCAGTATCTCCAATAATCTGCAAAAAACGGGCATAATTAATACAATGATAATTTATATTTCTGTATCATACATGTAACACATAAGTAAATGTACAGTTGCACTCAGAGTTCATATCAGTTAGTGCGAGATTCAACAGTACCATGATAAACATTCAAGTTCTTCATAAGAGCTGCCATAATACATGATTTTGGTATCTGTAAAGGAAATCAGTGACATACAAAGTAAATCTAGTCATTGTTATCTCAGTAAAGCATACACACAACAGTGGCTAGGACCTGTGCCCTGAAGTCGTCATGTGAAATGACTGTTTCTCACCTTTAAGAGATAGCGGGCAAACTTGATGGAGAAGAAGGAGGCAATTTCTGGCTGGCTTGCATTGTTGATGTACTCTTGAAACAGGGCCTCTGCCATGGCGGTGTTCCCCTTCCTTCTTTCCAAGCTGATTTTCCTCATGTTAACCATCACCAACCCAGGTACATTCTTATCCAAGTCTGACAGTATCTGTGATGCTAGATCATAGTTCCCTGCAAAATATTTTTTCCTTTCATCAGTATTTATTTACTTTTTCTTTAATATTTTCAGTAAGAAATTTACCTTTTAAGTCTCAAATCTAACTTCTTTATCCAGCAATGCAAAAACAATTTTCACCATATTCACAAAGCTCCGGATAATGATGTATTGTATAAGCGTACTTACCATGCCTTTCCTCAAATGCTGCCCATGCTAAGCTAATGTATGGTTTCTTTGGTAGATGGATTCTGCATGCTCTCATATATACAAGCCGTACTGCTTCAATACTATGGTCCTCCATATATTTTGCATACTGTAAACCAAGATTTTAAACACGATTATATCAAGTAATAATTTTTTTTAAAAAGTTCCACAAAATCGCTTTTTAAAGTCTATCTTAAATACACCAAAGACATCTGGGCCTATTTATCATGTCATCCAAAGTACAAAGTAATCCAAAACTATAGCATATAATGTGAGTAAATCTGCTACACTATGCCTGTATAGTGATGGATTTCCTCTGACAATTGCTGGATACTGCATTTGAAAATATTACCTTGAGCCAAAAATCTTCATACAAAGCAGTAGCAATCATACACCTCTCAAATAGAATTACAACCCTCTCGTGATCACCAGCTTCAATCTCAAAGTCAAGATACTCCTTCCAGTTTTTCAGTTGAGACTTCTCGAGGGGTTTCACATGGAAATATGGCCTTTTAATCTACAGAGATACCATTTTATATTACATTTCAATCTTATGTTTTAATTAATAAACACACATGTATAACTGCAAAATATTGGTAATATTTCCACAATATATTTCTAATTTCTTGTAAATTTTGAAATTTCTTCTGTCATCAACAGAATACATAAAAGTAAAACAGAATAAACTTACAGCTTCCTCAAAATTCCATCTCTTGCTCACTTCATCTTCAGTCTTTTTAAATATTTCTTCTCTTATGCTTATAATTCTGTCCCTGAGCTTTCCTGCCTCGTCATCATCAGTCTAAAACAGTAGACACTTCAAAATGAAGCATATTTCTTCAGAATACCCATTTACTCAAATGTTATGTTCTAAGCTTCATCAGAGAAATTTAACCTTTACTATTCAAAACGGTGATATCATACTCTTTGTACCTTTTGGCACAATAACTTTTCCTGTACTTTTGAATTTCTTTCAAGTCTACTGAAACAAGAATCACTTACTTTATCTCCTTCCACTTCCATGCCAGGAGGTGCCTCCTCCCCTGGTGGTCCTATCACCCCCGGGGGCCCATCATCCCCAGCAGCCTCCTCCTCTGGATTTAACTCAGATGTCCCCACCACAACCTCCTTCCTAAGCTGGAGAAAGTTGTCCAGGGTAAGGATTTCTTTTGGATGATGTGACAATACATGATGTTTAAAACTGAAAGTAAAATTCAGGAAATGGAAAGTGTTGCTGATCCAGCTGATTCTGCAAGCATTCATGTATTGTAAAACAATTTAGAAACAAGCCAGTTCTGAGAATTGTAGTCCACTACTTTCATGGTATAACTGCTTGAAATGCAATTATTTGTGGTATACTGTAACTGTCTTGTCAGTCGGTCAGTCCTGTCTTTACATCATACAAAAAAAAAAAAAAAAAAGATTTTAAATTTTTGCATTAAAAAAAGTTAGGGCCAAAAGTAAAGTTTCTGAAAAATTGCATCAAACTTCAAGGTCATGAGGTCAAATACTACAATACATTCAGAATGGTGATGTAATGCACAAGTGAAAATATATTAAAGCCCTGTTTCTTCTGGTGCAAAAGATATGACCAAAGTTAAACTGCTGAAAAGTAGGTCAAACTTCTAGATCAAGGTCATGAGGTCAAAAATAATTATTGGTTTCGGAGAAGTGTTGTCAAGGTAATATACATGCAAAATATTTCATTTTCCACTTTCTTTCTTCTTTCCTCTCCTCTCTATTTTAAAACATATTTCTTTAATAACTTTAATAATTTGTTGACATACTTTTCAAAATGATGACTATAGAGCTGTGTTGGAATCTGTAAAATTCTGTCATAAAGAGCTGTTTTACTGATCAGGTTTTCCTCCCAGGATATGTATGTGTCCCAGAGTTTGTCTGATCGGAAATCTTTACCACATGCTGCAACAGCTTTCTCATAGATTCTTAAAATAAAACCAGAACAACTGACACTAAAGTTCTTTTCCCACTTCAATGAGAGGAATATCACTGTATCTCCAGAGCAATTTACAATAAAGGAAAAATGGGAAAATAACAAGGAAAAAAAAACAATGAATGTCTTAAAAGGGCTAGTCCAGCAAAAAGTTGGGGGGTTGGGGGTTGGTATGGGTCGTCCCGATTATATGATAATTCATTTTCAGGTATGGCTGTCTTTCCAGGAAAAAAAAAAGATTGAGTGTCGCTAAACTTTTTTGATACCAGGTAATACAGATTTAACGGTCTATTTATTAGGGCTTGGTATCATCTGGGAATTTTGTATTGCTATATACTAGAGAGATATTTTTCAACTGTATTGCAATATGTATTGAAATATTTTCAATAACAGTTAAAAGAAAGTTCTTGTTGATTTCACGACAGTTTTGCCAAAAAATGCAACCATACAACAGCAAACCTTACTGTTTGGCACGATTGAAAACGTTTCTGACATCTTATAATTTCACATTTTACTTTAGAAATCCCAAGCCCAAGCATTTTGCCAGTATATTGGTACTCAGAAAAAATATCACAATAATTTTTCTCAATGAATCGCAATATACCAGAATATCAATATTATTGCGCAGCCCTACTATTTATGCATGCCATGTTTTATTTTAACAACAACAAATACTCTTACTGATTGATTGCACAAACTAACATCCATGCCAAACTAAACCTCAATTTCTCAAGTTCCATGTATATTTGATGAACCTTTCTGCTTATTATAGTTTATAGTGCAAGAAACAATCATTATGTTTTGGTTACATCTTAAAACAAGCATATGCAATTTGGCATACCATTATAGAATAGTCATTTGATCATTTTCGAGATCTCAACTGCAACTGTTATTGAAAGTGTAGATTTTGATTAAAATAAGTATGATTCTGTGTCCTCAGAAAAATCCAAGATGGCATTGTCAGATAACTCTTTTAGTGTACATACTGCTAATACCAGAAGTTTTTTTTTTAAATCTAGATACACATTAGAACACACAATGCATTAAAGACACCATTCTGAAACTGGGCCTCTGTGGGACTTGGAAAAAATGCGGGTATGGAAATTCTTTGCAGAAAATTGACTTTCATTTCTAAATTAAAAAATTATTACAAGTTTTGTTACAAATGAAAAAAATCATCAAGTTTTTTATTGAATCAATTTTCATATTTTGTATGTATGAGACACACAGCATTTTTCTTTAGAAAGGGGGAATTGACAAGCAAACAAAAAACCTAAATAGTAAGTGGGGGAAAGGGAGGGAGGTGTACCACTCTTTTTTAGCAAAATTTTTTTGCACGATTTGTTCTCGAAGTCCAGGTATTTCTACAAAGTGCACAAGTTAAACATCCCCAACGCTATCGATTGTTGTTTGGTTACAAAAATTATATTTCAGATGGTGTTGCAACTTTTAAAATACAAAATGACTGTGTCATTTCTGTAAAATTTGAAAAAAATAAAAAAATATAAAAAAAAATTCCCAAATGCAATATAAATGCACAGGGCAGTACGAACCCTGTAATTGTATCATTTTAATGCATTTAAATAAATAATGTATACAAGTTTAAATAATGTATACAAGTTTAAATTATAGATGGAATATTGTAGTATTTGTGCATTTTGAAAAAAAAAAAATATGTTGGTTGTGGTAATTTCTTTCATTCTGTTTGGGTGGGGGTGGAAGGAAAAATTTCATTATATGGGTGGTTGCCCTCTAAAAAAAGTCCATCTCCCCTAAGTTTTTTGCTGGAATAGCCGTTAACTAAAATTGCTTCACGTAAATAAACACACCCTCTGATTCCTTCCTCTCCATTCTCCAATTTTCCATATTCTTCTGTGTAGAAGTTTATGTAATGTAACCAAAGTTCTACACTTAAAGAAATTGCTTGTGTACCTCTCTCAAATACCTGAAAGAAAAACAGAGAATTTACAAATTCCAAAGGTTTCTGTAACAGTTAGTTTAAAAAGAATAATCAAATTCAAAATCAGTGCCATAATATCATGTACAGTTTATCCATGCATCAGGATTTTATCAGAAATTGTGATATCCTTTCCACAACCATAGCGTAAAAGTGTCATGGCCAAAAATAGAGATTCTGACCCCCCTGTGCTGGGGCCCATGGGAGGATATCATAACATTTGGAATGGATAGTTATAGGAAGTTGTATTCTATCAGTTGTTAAAATTACAAAGCTCTGTCTTTATTCCATGTAATTTTAAAGATCCTCAGATACGCAACATGCATAGGGGTTTCATGAATGCATTTTTCCAGATTTCCATACCCTTCAAGCTTTGGCCAGTAAAGAGTCCACTTAATAGGCAGGTACACAATCTAAGTGTCAGAAGAAATGGAAAACTTAATAGAAGGTGACAAAGAAACAGGAAGGATGAAAGCAGGGAGAAATTGCACCCTAAAAAAAGTCTTTCATGTATACTTTTTCTTCGCCTGATCCCTGTGCTGAGACCTTGAAGCACTATAGGATTGATCACAATTTTCATTCTGTAGCACAATAAACCTACATTTTCTTGACGTGGATAATTTTTCAATAGCAATTTATATTTTTTTTTCATGATTTCCCCCCCCCCCCTCTATCCCCCTTTGGCTCAACATTCTTAACAATCTGCAGCCTTCGAAAGATATATTATATAATTAGTATATACAGGGGTTGAAAATTTTCTGGAAAACCCACTAGCCCAGGGGCTACTGATCAGTAAAAATTTACTAGCCCGAACCTCAAACTAACTAGCCCAACAATTTTCATACAAAATGAAAACATAACAAATTAGAGTGTCAAATGCTTTGGTGACAGGAACAAACTAAATTAGTTCTCTGTCAAAAGAAACCAATCTACATAGAAAAGCTATGGTAAACTGACGATCAAGAATTTTTTTCAGTTCTGCTAGTCCGACGGACTATCATTACATTTGAATTAGCCAGCCCGAGTCTTAAAATGACTAGCCCCGGGCATCAGGCTACTGTATATTTCAACCCCTGATATAGAAGTTTGAAAAATCAAAATATATATAGCATGCCTTATAACACATCACATTTCAAATGATTGGTGTCCTTGGAAATTACAATGAGCATGTACAAAAGATAAGAAATGCTCACTTTGCAAATGTTGTATTATTTCCATGTAATGATATAACCTCATTTTTATCTAAGATATGACTAACATATCCCTGGAAATATTACCTCCATTGCCTTCTCTGGTCCCGATTGTTTTCTTTCCATATCTGCATATTTCTTCCAGTAGCCATAACAGTATGGATAATGCTCGAAGAATGCATCATATGCTTTTCTGGCTTGATCTAGCTTTTTCTATGTCAAATGACATAAACATGAAATTATGCACTAAAGATACCCGGAAATTATATTCATGGAGTTACATACTCTAGACAGTTTTAATATTTCATCAATTTTTGCCTTACTTCTTGTTCCACATACTGAAGGAGGTATGTCCAGCCTGTGAAATCCCCTGGGTTGTCCCTCACTGCTTTCCAGTATTTATCTAACTCGGTGTTCACTTCCTCACCCTCTACTTCATTACCCTGTACTTCTGAATATTAATAGTTTACAGTTTTAGTACACAGTTGAACTCATAACCCAATGTCATGAAATCAATCAGATTTTGATTTACTTCAGAATTAATCTCATTTGGGTACTCTCATAAAGGTTCTTATATTTTAAAAGAATTTATCTAAAGGTTTATGTGTGTCCATGAGTTTGTCACTCAGACACTGTTTTTATGGTGCTTTTTTTTTTTCCAACTCTCTACTCATGTTTGGCTCTATTTTCAAGAGTGGCATGATCTTCATAAAACATGATCATTCTTAATGGGTAGAAAATATCTCTATGTAGTTAATTTTTTTTTTTTGGCTCATTAGTTATTTAATATCAGTAAAACAAACAAAAAGGACATTGTGCAACAACATTGCATGAAAAAAAAAAATTCTTCACATATTATTTCTGCCTATCTACTGTATGTGTACATGCAAAATTATCTCATACAGTCAAAAAAAAAAAAAAAAGGTACAGTCACTTTTTTTCTTTATTTATACAAGTTTCCACATATGAATAATAAAATTTATTTGCTTAAAATTTTCCTGTTTTCTTTTGTTTTATAAATAAAACTTCCTTTGAAGCAAACAATGTTGACTTTTTCATTCCATTTTATGGATATTCATTCTAAAGCGATTTATTAAGTCTCTCGCAGAAGCCTTGAGTACAACTGTACTCAACCTGTTTCAATATTTGCAGACCTTTGACTTTGTCGGCAATGATATGCAATAAGTGATCCTGAAAATCTTAAGCATGTTGTGGAAGCAATTTTTTTTTTCAAAGAAACAAAATAATTCATTAAAAACTTTAAAATAATAAAACGAAAACATTATTTTGGTGCAATCCACAATATATTCCAATCATTTTTTTTTTTAGATACCGAAAGTAGATACATTGTATGAACTCGATGAATTTCATCGAAATATGTTGCACATTTTTATTTATCTTTCCAATAATCGGTTTCTCTAAAAATGTCTTTCTAAAAATGCCTTCTTACCCTGATGCCCCTCGATTTCGCTCTTTACTTCGTCTCCAGTCAGAATCGACATTTTCCCTGTTACACCGGAAGTATATTTATGGAACTCTTCAGTGTGGGAAATGAGCCACTCGGCACACCTCGGCCGATTCGTAGCTCATCAAACGTTTGATGAAGGTGACGGAATCAGCCGAGGTTTGCCGAATGGGAAATGAGCTTGATCAAATGATGTGAAAGTAGGCATATACACTGAGACAGTGACTTCAAATATGGGAATGGGAAATGTACTTCTCCTGTCACAAGTTATTGCATTTTTAGTGTCGTTTCTTGGTTCTTTTTTCATCTTTATTCCAGTGTCAATAAACTTGCAGGAATTTGATGGAAATTGTTTACTTGGAGCCAAGGGGACTTGGAACTACAGTTCAGATGCAAAGAGTGTGATCCTGATGAACATAGAATGGGGTCTATACAGTGACTGTGGATTTTCTGTATTTGTTGGCGTTATTGTCATGATAATCTCAGTTTTTTACATCATATGGCAATCGGTTTATTTGTTTAAAAACACTGACAGGTACGTTTTTTAGGGGTGGATCTAATTTTTTTAATTACTATTTGATAATATTTACACATTTCAATTCACAGACATCACAACAGTTTATATAATGATCAGTATCAGAGAGGATAATAAACACCATTTATATAACTTTGGCACAATATGCTGCATTTCTGGGGGTTTTTTTTATAACCTTTATGCTTTTTCAATTTATTTTTAGATCATGGTCTTGTGACATTTTGGTGATATTAACACATGTCTGGCATTGACATTTCAGTAGTTTGTCTAAAATTGTGCATCATTTTAAATCAACATATCAAATCAATTCCAAAGTTGAAAAACAGATCTTTTACTTTAATATGTACATTGAACAGGCAAAGATGCTCATTTAACTCAAAACTTTTAATTAGACTTAGTGCTATGTATATACAGTGTATTGTAATATTTTTAGATGAAAATGTGGTTGGAAATCGTTGTAATATTTATATCTTGTTAAAATTCCAATTATTTCCACCTACTTGGTTAAAATTTAATTGCTGGAAAGATACCTCTAAAAATTCCGGAAATGTAAAAAAATAAATGTCGGAAATGAAAAGAAAAATTGTCGGAAATGCCATGCAAAATTCTGGAAATGAAATGCAGCACTGTGCACCACCATATGTGCAGTAAGGCATGGATAAGTATAATTACCAGTAATTCACATTGTGCTGAATTATTACCAATCATTTATCATGTTATAAATCAGAATTGGTGTTCTTTGTTATTTCATTCAAGAAGTAACTTTGTTGTCACAAATCAACTGTAACAGTTATATATAGCCCCAAAACTTGTAGAACTTTGATTGCAATTGCTCTTAAGAAGATGCATCTCAGAAAGTAATTCTTTCATACATTGTTTTCAGAAATTAATAAAATCTTAACTAGATGAAATCTATCACTCAATGAAGAGCAATTTTTATTACCTGCTGAAAAAAATGCTCATTAAGAAATAAGCTAGATAAAGTTACTTTGAGTAGTTAAATATCTACATAATTCAAGCTATATAGCTAAATGTAGCAATTGTACTAAACCTGGGTGCACAGTAGTATTAAAACAAGCTTTCCTTCATCATGTGCATACTGTACATGCAAGTATCAAAGTTGTGACAACCACCCATAAATTGGTTATGAAAATTGAGCATATTTTATTCGTATAGTATATACATGAATTATAATCTGACTGATATATAACATGTTTAATATTGTTTGCAGTTCTTGGTTGGATGCATTTGTGACCTGTATTGTCAGTATCACTGTGTGCCTGCTGCTGTTTATTTGTGCCCTGGTACTCAGTGTGGGCTACAACAAATGGTGTCACACCTTAACAGGAATAAAATCTCCTTATCTGAAGTGAGTAGCCTCATGGAACAAAAATTCAGTTAAAATTGGCCATAATCTTGTAATCAGTATGTTTTCTGTAGCTTTGTATTATGAATGTTGTAAATGGTATACTCTGCAAACATCCTACCTTTGTTACAGTTCAATCAAATTTGTTGATTGAAAATTTTCTATTAGTTTATTGTATGATATACATGCTTATACTGGTGCATATAAATTATTATAATCACCGGGTCCCATAGAAGTTTGAGCAATAAACATAGAAATGCAGTAAAACATACATAAAACTCTTACAATGCTTAACTCTATCTTTAAAATAAGGACTATATACCGGTATTTGCCTTAGCTACACCTACAAGGATCATTCAATAAATACTCTTCATCACATTATTTTTACAAAATTTAAGATCAACTCGTTTTTAATTGTTAAAACATATATTTTGTTGATGTGTGTAGTTTCATTATTAGACTATTTGATTAAATGGAACTCATATGTCACTTGATTTTAAATAAAGATGTTATTTGCTACCATGGAGACTCTTAACAATATTGTAATGTCAAAAACAACGTTGTGAATGTTTCTCAAAATTACTCTCCTTCATTTTCCACATGTTTTGTAGCACTATGCCTTACCCATTCCATCAAAGTGTCTCCATAACAGTTGACACTTTGCTGTCTAACAATTGATCATGTAGCGTAAGTTAATTTAACAGTATTTTCAAATTCTTTCCCATGTACCTCTCCTTTTATAATGATGTGCATTTTGGTGGTAAAATTTTACATTTGAATGAAAGATTTTGAGCTTTTTTTTGAATGTTGGTTGTTATATAATGACATGTCCATTTCTTTTTCGGGAAAAATCGTTTTATTGTAGGCTGGGAAACACCAGTCTGCACTGAGAGGGGAAGAGCTCGCGATTGTGGTAAATTTTCTCACATGCTTCATTGGAATACCTGTAAAACAGGTATTCTTTAAATAAAATAGCCAATCAGATTGTCAGTCTATATAAAAACCTGGGAGATGTGTTCAATTGATACATGTGATAAATTCAATAGACACGATATGTACATATTCGTTGCAACTTCATAAATCCCCTTTTCAGCAAAAGTCATGTTGCTAGTCTCAGATAATTGTGTGTTTTAAAACATTGTGATGAATATTGGTTCCTTAATTCTAAAGAAATGGACGTGTCATTATGTAACAATTGAGGTTTGATAAGAAAGACCCAAACCTTCCATTCGAACAAAAAATTTACCACTAATTTCCATGAAAATTCTTTTCACCAGATTTCAACCTATAAATGTATAATCTGTTTCTTCACAGACTGTCTATCATCTGATTCCAAATCTCTACCATTCAAAAACTGACTTGTCATTTATATATAAATATCTCATCTCACTTTTGATCTATTTCCTGGTTTCTCTGAGCATTTTCAGAGTTTGTTTTAGAGGTTTCCTGAGTGCAATACAGAACTAAACCACTACTCATACTGCTCTGTGACATCTTTCAATGTCATCATTTTTTGGGGGGGGGGGGGGGCTTTATTCAATGAGGACCAAAACCTGTCTTGATTTCTTTTCAGTGAAACAATTTCTTACATTACAGTTTTGCATATGAAACTATGTACAATATTAAATTTTGAACTTTTAAATTTTATTTTCATTCAAGCACCATTTATATTAGAGATGTATAAGCATGATAAGTATAGACATAAAGTGTCTACTATTACTCAATTTTGACCATACTCTGTGTCCCCATTTTTATAATCTTTAAGATGATATATATATATATATATATATATATATATATATATATATATATATATATATATATATATATATATATATATATATATATATATATATATATATATATATATATATATATATATATCTCAACATTAGGGTATGAGAAGTAGGAAACCTAGAAGCCTGAGTATAAAGTTTGTTGATTATCAAGTGATTGATTCTCAATATGCTGGACAGATACCATTGGTTTTGCAAATGAATGATTTGGGGTGGGGTGGGAGGCTTACTAGAATTCAGATGACTTAATTAAGAAACTACATTTTAAATCATTCTTCTGTAGTAATTTTTACCTTTCTACTGGAAAATAAGCAATTCATTTTCTTTCATACAGATGTGAAGATACGGAGATGAATGTATTTATCACTGATTCGAACATTTACACAAAGAATATGTTCTCAGAATTCAACATGGCACAGGCAAGTACACTATGTACATTTTATAAATTGTAGTTGTCAAGAAAACTAAGAGAATTTTTAAAATCAATGCATATCCTCAGATAAATAATGACATGTAGTACGTGGGACCTTGTTGAATGCTATTATATCTTAAGTGAAGTGCAGCATGCTGCAATAATTGGTGTGTAAATTCGTATTTTATTAAATGATTGTCATATCTCTTCTAATGTTGCAAAATTGTGAATTATCTATGGAAAGCAATACACCATAATCACTAGCAGGAAGGAATGCATCAAGTATTGTTCTGCTACAGAGCCGACATTTCTGTTTTAGTTTGGTGCCTGGCTGTGTTGGATTTGCTGGCTGATTCTCTCTGTGTTATCAGTCATTAAAGTGTACCATTACCACAAAAAAGAGGCCTTCCTGTCCAGCATGAATCGGGAACGACAGCGACTCTTACAGAGTGTGGGACATAGAGAGCCTATGGTGCTTTAATTGTATGAACCCTATGACTATTGATCAAGTGACAACTGTGCTATTTTCTACAAGATCCAAATGACTAAAGACCAGGCTTCACTGCACCTATCATGCTCATTCTGTGAGAACCTAATGAAAATGTCGGTTTTTTTGTTTGTTTGTTTGAGTTTTTTTCTTTGTTGAGAACAGTTGCAATGGGAATTTCTCATCAAAGTCTTTTAGTCTTTAGCTTAAATATAACTGTTTTATCTTTACATTATATGAACTCTTTGTCATGGTAAACAGGTCCATTTTCAGTGTTCATAGGATCTATATTTGAATGGGGTATGTGGGAGGAACTTCTTCCTTAGAGCAAAACTAGGTTATTAATAAATGTTATTACACTGAATAGGCTAACTGGGTCAAAAATACTTTTAAGAAGAAAATAACCAATGGACTTTTTTAAGACAACTCTTTGTTCTTACGTGGTGTTGTCTTTAACATTCAAAGTAATTTTGTGAAAGGGGGATGGAACATATTTACTTTAATTCAGAGATGTTTTCTTGCATGAGAGATGGGCATAGAGTGAATTGAGGAGAGAGAGAATCAAGTTTTGTTTTTTATGTGAATTCCAATATAAAGGAGACACAATGATAAACTATAGACCAAAGCTAAACACGTTAAAAGATGAGATAACTACATCTATAGAGAAAGGACTTAATAAGCTTTAACAACACATCAAAGACACTTAATACACCAGTATAATGGTTATGTGTGTTGAGTTACTGTGTATTTATGTAGTTATTGTTACTTTGTAAATATTTATAAATACTCAGTTATGTTATTGTTAGCAAGTGTTCCTGGATATTACGTAACATGTCAAACACTGAAGCTTGACACATATATGACATACTCACAGAATTGCAAATTTCCTGTTTCAGGTTGAACAGACATAAGATAACTACAATACTCATTTTGCCTATCCATGTCCTGAATACACACACTCACCCCCATTTTTTTTCAACTATCTTAATACATTGTTTAAATATCACCTGAAGTCAGAAAGAAAGTACCTTCTATGTAATTTTAAAAGCATTATACATTTTGTGCAAGGCATTCATGTGTACCTTCAGTTTATCTGCTAGGGACAGAGTAGAAGGGAGAGAGAGGAATCTATCTTGAGGAGTAAAAAACAGATAGTGACTGTGATTTCTTCACACTGTCAATATTTACTGGAATGCATTTTAAGGTTCATTGATCTTCAGATAAGAGAGAAATTGTCAAATTTGATAGAATTTCTGACAAAATTTACTCCACAACGTATGTTGAGAATATAATTAAGATTTCTTTTGGTAAAGCAATATCATTAAAGCAACATTTTGCATGTCTACAGAGCAATGAATAACCTTAAGAAATTGGGGGAGGGGGTGTTAGGGGTCACTTATTAGAGAAATGTCTGGGTCTTTATAATATGGTCAAGTATTAAGTATAGTTGTTTAATGACGAACCTTCACTCTGAACACAAGGATATATAAGGTCCCTTGTTTATTCTGTATTTCACTTTGATAATCTAACTCAGTATAACATTAAATACTGCTGAGTGCAGTTGTATGTGAATCTGCCATAAGTTGATTTTTTTTTTATTTCATGAACTGTATTTATCATGGGCATTCATCTGGTTTGAATTTGAACATTAGTGTCTGACTCTGTTTTAGAATCTCAATCATGAGTGTAATCACTGTTTACTAGTATATATATTTCTGTATAATTTACTAGCATGAAAATAAACAAACACATATCTTCACTGTCAAGTTACTTTATTATTAATCCAAAACAAAACATAGAGACAAACCTAGCTGCTAGATGTTAAATAGATCTAGTTCTCTTGAACAGGACTGCTTGCCTAGACACTATACTAAAACTAACTTATATCAGCCTTGGATAAAAATATCTTGATAACAATTAATTGTCAGAACAAAGGCAAGATCAATCAAAATTGCATGTGTAAATTATGTAATTCTCTAAATAAAGAAAAGTACAACAGATTATGTAAGAATGTCTTTTGACACAAAACATTAAGTATATAAGTATGGTACTTGGCATGATATATTTATGCTATCTTTCCCTACAAAGCAACTAGTCCAGCATATTGTTCAAAGATTGTAGTTCTTCTTAGAGCATCAGAACCACTAGGATTTTAAATTAACTCTGATCTAGTGCTTATGCCAAACATGTTCATGTACATTTTTTAAAAATCTATAATGCAAATTTGGGTATTTCAGGAAAATTTTTCATTACACTTGTTGAAACTGTAGGAGTTTCTCTGTGCCATATATTGTGAACTAATGTTTAATTCACCAGCAAGAAATATTTTAATATGTGTAATCTTGGGTATCCATTATTCTGAAATAATTATTGTACCAAATAAATCACATTTAAACTCTTTTAAAAGGATTTAACCATGATTTAACCATGATAATATCAGCAATATGCAAATGCAGAGTTACATATGCAATTAGATGAACATAACAAGGTGGCTTTATAGCATTACATGTATAAGTGTCTTTCACCCTAATAATAATAATTACACAGATTAAGAAAAGATATCACAGACAACCCAGTAAACACTTGCTCCCAGTCAGCTATTGACAAACTGTACTGATGCTGTTATGAGGTATCAGAGGACGGGAAGATCACATTTTTGTGGTAAATACATGTACTTTAAGTCTTCTCTGAATCTGTTTGTTTCTGTGACTGTTGGGCAGAACTACTTTTATCTTTGAAAAAACTGAAATCTGTTTGAGGCTTTTCTTGGAAACTGTCAGGCATATATTCCACTGCCTCTAGATCCACCCCTAAAACTGATAGATCAGGGTTCTCTTCCTGCAGAAGTAAGCTTATGTAGGACTTATTCCCTGCATTGGGTAAATCGTTCATACGCAAATATTTCAGATTTCTGGAATCAACCAAATTAAAGTATATGTTATCATGTAACAATCTGAATATTTTCTGCAGACTATACAAAGAAGAATATAGTTTTCTAGCTCTTGGCATCTTCTACAGAGTTTTTTTGACCTGGATTCATGATTTTCTGCTTAAAATAACTGGTATTCTTAAACTTTGAACAATTAGCTCAATAGTTTTTTTTTTAGTATTTATTATATTATTCATAGACAAACTATACATTCATATATATTTAAATGAATCTTAATTGAGACTTACTTTAATTTTTGTAATGCTCCAATACCATTATCAGTCACTTGTAAACAACCACTTATATCCAGAAACTCTAGAGTATCACTGACCATGTATAGCCGAGAAAGACAGAAGTCATCTATTTTCTTACAATCCTTCAAAATCAGCATCCTCAATGAGGTTCCTCCTGAAAAAAAAGATTTCATTTGAAAATATCTGGCATTCATCATACAAACTTAGCTAATGTTTACATGCTTTTTTTTTTTTTTAGAATTTGAGTACTGTATTAATGACAGAAAGCAGTTGGAAATGGATTATTTAAAGGAAATACTTTCAAATTTAATGAATTTTATTAAAATCAAAACTTCAAAGAACAAGAGATGTTTGTGAAATACTTATGCCCCCCCCCCCCCCAATAATTGGAATTTTCTCAAAGTCTAAGGGGCATAACTCTGTCAAAAATTTGCTAGATCTTACCCAAAACAGAACTTGACCTAGATATTTTTATAAATCTGTATATCGAATTTCATTTTAGTGTGTGCAACCTCTGCAAAGAAAATGAATGGAAACTGCAAATAATTGAATTTTTCTAAGTCCAAGGGGCATAACTCTGTCAAAAATTGCTCGATTGATTGTACTCAAAACAGAACTTGACCTAGATATTCTGTTGATAAATCTGTATACTAAATTTCATTTCATTAAGTGCAACCTCTGCGAAGAAAATGAATGGAAACTGTTTGTGGACCAACAGACAGACAGACCGACTGACAGACCGACAGACAGCAGCAAAGCAATATGGCCTCCCTTCTTCGAAGAGGGGCATAATAAATGAGTACATATTTCTGAGAGTTTATCAAAGTTGAAACTGTTTTCATAAAGTTTAACTTGAATTGAGTAAAGTGTTCTATAGTATTTCTAAAATTGCTTATTTTAAAGTTGACATGTCGCACACTTTCTATACTTTTAATGGTAGGCTTACATCCCTTGAAATTTGTTTTGTAACAAAAGAAAATCACCATAGAGATTAACCAAAAGTCTCTGAATAGACTGTATCTTTACTGCTTAGTAGGAAGAGATAAGTAGCAGTAAAAAGTATGGCAACACCAATAAACAGAATTCTGATCCCTCATTTAGTTTCTTTGTGTGGCAAGTATTACTGAAATCAGACTGAAAACTGTAGAAGGAGTAGCCTGTTGAAAGAATTTTGTAAAATTCTTATTTTTAGTAACCATGGCATCATAGTTCATAAAAATCAAAGACTAATATATGGAATTATTTTTATTAGTATAGTCTATAATCATGGAAGAGGTTTAAATGAAATTGGAGTAAAGATATAGGAGAAGTAGCATTTCGAAAGAATTTCAAAGAAATTTCTAATTTTAGTAACAATGGCAACACCTTTCATCAAAATCAACAACTGATTGACCAAATTATGTATTTTAGTATAGTCCATGTGTACCAAGTTATATTATAATTGGATCAAAACTGCAGAAGGAGTAGCACTTCAAAAAATTGTTACAAACAGTCAGAAGGACAATGGATTCATTACAATGCCATGAGCGCTTATGGTCTTTGACCAGTAGAGCTTAAAATGAAGTACATGTATTTCTTCTTGAGAAGAAGCTTATAAATGACCTCATTAAACTTTCAACATTTCTTAATTATCTCCCCTTAAAAGAAAATGTGGCTCTTCTTTTGAACAAACATAAATCCCCATCACCCAAAGATGCTTTATGGTAAGTTTGGTTGAAATTGCTCTGTGGTTCTGGAGGAGAACTGTGAAAAAAAAATTAGATAACACACAACATACTATGACCAGAGAAGCTCAATTAATTCTCCCTTGGGCAAGTCCATTCATTGACAATGTCTATCTTATCATATCAACAATTTTGTTTAGCTGATGCAGAGCTCTGTTGTGGGTGAACTATTCAGAGTATAATCTTTGAAATTCACATCAATTCAAATCAGGTTAAGATGATGACCTTTGACCTTCAAATTAGGTAGACAAACCAATTTACTTCTATTTAGATTTTAGAATGACTATTTCTTTAAAATTAGTTTTTGTAATCAATCCAGCAAACAATTACACCTAGCAGAACATCACTGGCCACATCTTTCAATCCACAATGGCTAGCTGGCCATTGTCATTAAATGCATTAAATAAAATTAAATTCGTATTACTCAAACATTCTAGTCCTTCGTATTGGATTGTAGATTTTGTGAGATCAGCTACTTGTAAGAAGAGGTTGTCAATGCGGTTGGTGGGTAATGGTATACGATCTTTCTGTCGTTCAATCCACTTGTCCAGTCCAGTAAACTGAACTCGTCCCCCTACTTTCAGAATTGAGTGAGCTGCGTTTAGGTCAGCACCAAGCTTTTCAACTTTTTCTGTATCCAAGCTGAAAAAAAAAATATTATAATACATTTTTAAGTTTACATGGTTACATGGTAATGACGCAAGGGCGATAATAGTGGTATAACATATAGCGCGCTTGTATAGCAAGTGTCCTGTAAATTATGTAACAAATTAGTTATACATTAAATGAAATGAGTCTTTCCGGTGCCGCCTTGGCCCGTGAAAACCAAACTTTAGCCAGTATTTATCATTTTCACTGTCTTTTCCTGTCGGTAAACATTTTTTCCGTGAAGCTGCAAGTCCTTGGGTGTTACCATTTGCTTTCGATTACCCTCCAAGTTTTCCCTATACATTGTTTATCTGTCCTTGCAATTTTGTAAACTTCCGTTCTCCCCAGGTCGATTTAGAAAAATGAGCCCCATATCGAAGAATTTGTATCCGCTTGCTGTTGATAAAACACGTGTTGACGACTGACAAACACATCAGCATTTAGGAAAATCATCACTGTAGGGGATAGCACCATGACAACGAAATAAATGCTTCAGAGTCTAGAAATAGGCGCTGAGGTGGGTGGGGGTATTTTACCAAGAAGAGAGCTTTCGTCCCTTGTAGAGTTTACATGTATGTATATAGGTGTGGTATGTCTTTTTTAAATGTGTTTTTTCTTGACTGAAAGTGTCAGAATCTTTATTTTAACAACTTTTAAGTGTATTTTAAGTAGATTAAAAATTTTATTAATTTATTTTACATTTAGCAATCTGGAAGACAAGCCCCGATGGTTCAACCTGGTTATGCTTTATGAGTAGAATATCCAATAAACATCTTAAAAAACTTTGATATAACCGGCAGTTTTAGGAGTGATATACTTTAACCCCAATAGTAACCTTACAATGATATAGAACTACTATATATAACAGTTATATACCTTTGGTCTTTTCTCTGTTGTATATCAATCATATTCTGTATCGAGCGTCTTATACCCTTAATAGAAAAGTCACTGTCAAGCATCATCATAAACTTGTTAAAGTTTATGAATGGTGATTTTCCATCATCAGGAAAACTTCTCATATATTCTGGCTCAGTCAAAGGTTTTCCCAAGTTGCGATCAGCAAAACTTCTTGACTGGCCAATGAACAGTTCTGACCAAAGACTGCTGACAGGTCTAAAAGACCTCTGTAAAGAAATAAAAATAATGAAAAATCATGCGAATAATATGCCAATCAAAAAGAATATGAGTATTCATTACCCTGAGATTTAACATCACTGATTTATCCTTGGTCAACCTCTACATGTGGGTATCTTCCTTGCCGCTTACATCATATAAAATCGCAAAGGTCAGGGTTAATGATAATAAAATTAGGAATAACTTTAAATTTAATGAATGTTTCATAAAAAAATATCTTTGCAGATACACAACACATAGATTTAATCAAGTTTAAATGCAATGGGCTAAAATATTTACAGCACGAACTCTTTAAATTTTTTTTTCAATGTTTTCTACTTTCATTTTCGCTTTTACGAAGCTTCAATCCGGAAAGTCAAATGGCAGCATTAAATAGAAGACGGGTAAATATATGTTTATCTCTAGCTTTTCTAATCTCTTTTTCATATGTTTGTTATAATTTCTATGCTATACTTTAAAGAGTTTATTAGTGTTCATCGTTCATATCGCACATCAGGTACCTTTTTATCATACAGACGACGTCCCTCATTGAGGGTGTTGTTTTTTACTATATCAGGTTGGGGCCTCTCGCCACTCAGCTTGTTTGGGTAATAATAATAATAATATCCCAAATGGGATATAAATTTACATTGCAAACAATTGTGTTAGATAAAAATGTAGTAAATCTTAATAAATGGAGAAAATGTATGACTGGACTGAGAATCGAACCCCCTGGATCCCTGTATCACTAGTCAGGTGCTGTACCAACTGAGCTATCCAGGCTGATATCCATGGCTCAAACCATTACAAATATATACATTGGATGCCACAATCCTGCAAGTTTTTCTGTGACCCACTAAGTGAAATTGACTCTACACTATGTGAGATTGATACCCATGATCAATTTTTGATGTAATTTCATAAATATGTGATATCCAATGTCCAAACCATTACATTCCTCAGTCCCTCCATAATTGTTTTTTGTAGACACAACCCAAGTTCTTATTGCCCCTGGCGTCCTGCAATTCCAGGGGTGGTCAATGGAACCAAATTATGTAATAGGAATCATGAATTAGCGCTACTTATGTCTGCATTGTGTATTGTATTTATAAATGATTTATTAACTGTATTCATGAATTAGCTCATTGTTGTCCGCACCAGAGCCGCTAAATTATGAAGCCCACTTTTTTTAGTACACATACAGTAACAATGTGATCTTGAAATTAACCAAATATTTGTTGTCTGTGTTGGTAATCATAAAACCTATATACTGTACACTTTCAGTTTAAAAATTTTTATGCTCTAGATATATCCTATTTGTAGGAATCACAAGATGATGAAGATTACTGGATGAAATCAACAGTCAATAAAAATAAAAGCAAGTTCAACATTTTTGATGATGATGTAAGTTGTTACCTACAGGTACCAAGTTTGTTTTATGTTCCAAAAATTCAGTTTACATTACAGCATGATTACAGGTACTAATAGGTCATTGATTTTTCTGTTTCCTAAAAATATTTTTTTATGAGTACATTGCAATTTATTGGCAAGAATTGTGATATACATGTATATAATAATAAGTGAATTATATTATAGTCAAACCTCATTATCTCGAACTTGATGGGACCAAAAAAAAAACTTTGAGATATCTGAGGATTCGAGATATCCAGGGTAAAATGCTTAAAGAATAAGAGATTGGGACTTCCAAATCACTTTGACATATTCATGGTATTTGAGATATCAGTGTTCGAGATACCAAAGTTTAACTGGATCTCAAAGCAAGAGACCTTCTAAGATTTTTATGCCCATTTTCTATCCATCCCAATTGTTATAGTTTTCTTGATTTTGTAATTTTTGCTAAGAGCATACACTATAATTATCTTAAACATATTTAATCTATCTATACTTATAACTCATTAATTATAGGTTACTGTGGAAACAGCTGAGGACTTGGCCAAATCCAAGAAACTCTTGTCTCAGTTTGATGAGGAGGATGTAGATACAGTTAACTGGGATGACACTCCTGTATCCAAGTCCATAACATCCTCAGCAATTAGTGGTGAGAGAATTAAGCATTCACAACCTTCTTATAAACTGTAATAGTCAACAGTATATAATAATGGCTTTACTGGTAATTCTATTGATATTTCCTGAAATCTTTTACTTTTTAGCTATATATTAAAAAATGATGTGAAAATAAAGAAATGTCCCTCACATATAATATGTTTATATGCAACTTAAATGAGTGAAGCTAGTTTTCCTGTTTTCTCTTTTTGGTTTATTTTTGAAATGCTGCTTTATTTATGCATGTATTTCCAATATTGTCCAGGCATGATTGAAATGCATGATGGTACAGTTCTTTTACCTCAGTTTACCAGCTAGACCTGTCTCCATCATTGCTTGTATATCAGTTTTCATGCAAATGCATCATATATATGCTTTGATCAACTACATAGTCAAACTGTCAAATATAAATAATTGTTCAAAGTTATGTTTATTTACAAATCAGACACTGCATCCTCTCTCCCTAAATCCTCGTACTCTACTGTGCCCAGCACCAGAAATGTTCCACCTTATATGACACATTCCAGATCACAGAGTGAAAGCTTTGGTAAGCCAGCATCATTCACAATAGGGCAAGCTTCACCCAGCTTGCATGCTCCATTGTAAATCATTTTATCAGCAAAGAGGATTTCTGAACATATTTTAGTACATGTAAATTTATAATTAATTCAGATGACCAAAATCACTGAGTATTTGAGCCATTTATGTGTATGGATCCCTCATCTTTTCAGTTTTGATTTAATTGTATGTGCATGAGAATTTCTCTGTATCAGTATATTAATGTATCTAAAATTTATGAAAAAATCTTTTGCATTTGTACATCATATTTTTGTTTGTTTGCTTGTTTTGTTGGCTATTTACATATATACTAGTAAGAAAACTGCATCTTGATATTTTTATCTGAAAGTGTACATTCACCATTAAAACTGTACTCTGTAGTCAATAAGAAAGTAATTAAAAATTAATTAATTCCTTTTTTTTCTTAAATGTATGTCATAATTGTCTTTGATCTGTATAGGTGTGACAGCTCGAGTATCTTTCACCCCTCCTTCACAGGAGCCCTCGTTTCCTGTTGTACAGTACAGTAAATCCCAGGAGAAACTCCAGACCCTCAGTTCCTCCACTAGTGCAGTCAGTATAGAGGACGGTAAGGGTATCCCTAAACCCTTAATACTTTATATTGTACAATGAAGCATTTCTTCAAATTGAATTTACTTTTATACAAGAAAAGTAATTTAAGACAGATATCTGTCAAATGGAAAAGCGCAACGTGTGAGAGATATTTATCTCCCTTGAGTTAAAACATTAGTAGTATTATTATTATATACCACTGTGACTTTATCCATGTATAAAATTTATTTTTTCAATTTACAGCAATATCCGGTTATAAATCTACGAACTCTAGCTCCAGAAATCAGGAGGAAGAAATTCAGTACCTGAAGAGGGCACTAAGGGTACATTGTTTATACATACTTAGTTGCATGTAGGATTCAGTGTTGCATAGTAATGTTTGATATTGAATTATTTAGAAGTCTTAATAATTTCAGTATTCAAAAGAAAATGTTAAAGGAAAAAGAGATATCCATAGGAAAATGTGCATGTATTTATTTATGATTTCAGAAAGCTAAAGAACTTAAATTTTCACCAGAAGAGACCATTAAGAAGATGGTACTAGGAGAGGTGAGAGTATTTACAATATGGAGAAATTTGATGACCTTTCATATATTATGACCTTCAATTTGTTGTAAATATACTTAAAATTTTTAAACTAATTCTAAAAAAGAGATTTCATATTCCAATTGCAAAACTTGAAGATATGGGAATTCTGCAGTTTATGTGTAGGATGTATGGATAGAAAATTAATCACTAATATGGGCAGAATGCATACATGTACTGTGTATTATCTTTTTGATGTTATTAAAATTTCAGCCATATAGTTTGGAAATATTTCGTTACAAGGAGGAAAAGCTACAACTTTTAGACAAAGCAATACAAGTACATGATGGGAATGCTATAACTGCTGTGAGTAACCAAAAGACCCTGTGAGAACTATAAATATTTCAATATGTACAGTTGTACACTGTATATTGTGGTTATAAAATCTTTTAATATTTTGCAATTAATATGGTCTAATGCTTTAATGATAGAGATTGCACAGGTGCTTTCTAATTGATAGATTTCTTTGCAGGTGGTTTTATTCCTGAAACAAACCATCAAACCCTCACTGTTTAATCTGGAGCTACAGAGGCGACCTGTAGCTGTCAATCATTATCTCAGCTATCTCAGGGCCCATTATGACTTCAAAGAACTCGGGGATGTCCTTGGGTGAGTATTGACACCAGGAAATCTCAGGTTAATCTCTGGTGGAGCAGGTGCTCATCTACAGTTAGGTGACTTAAGATATTTATAAGAAATACATTTGGTTGAAATAAGGTGCTTAGACTGGGGTTTAAAATGTTGATTATTGGCTATTGATTTAATGGATTTGGCAACATGATAAAATATTGAACAATAAAATTATTATTTTAAATTTAATCCATGCTGTAAGATAAATTTGTTAAACTGAGTTAAAATGACATGTACATGTATGCTAATATTGATCAATTGGACAAGATTTGATATCAAATAGTCAGACAAATGTTAAAATTCATCATGTTTTAGAACTTGAAAAGTAATCTTGATTTTTTTTCACTGTAGTTGCCAACTGTACAGCTATAAATGGTTTATTGCACAGGCAAACTATATGTATTATTCTTTTTCACAGTATTATTCTACAATAATTGAATTTCATATTCTATTTCACAATTGACTGATGCATGAAAAATAGTGATAAGGTGTCTTTAAATATTCTCTCTTTTATGTCTAACAATGTATTGTTTGTCCATAGGATGCTGAACAGAACAGAAGAGGCTGCAGTAAGACACTTAGGGATTTATTAATTGCAAATTTAAATAAAATCAAAGAAAAGAAATTAAAGATTTAATATCAAATAGTTAGACAAATTTTAATATTCATCCTGTTTTACAACTTGAAAAGATCTTGATTTTTGATGAATTCTGAATCAATCCTGATGATGAGATGCTGAGCTATCTGTTGTGTAGATTCTGAAGTACAAACAAGCTGTGGGTACGTCTGATGTCAGAGGAAAAATGGCTGCATTGAAAGGATGCTTAAAGTAAATGTTCTGTCTTGAGAAAATGTAAAAGAAATTCTTGTAAAAAGATTATTTCTTACTGTGACCTTAATAATTGTATACATGTAATATCTGAAGAAAAATACTAGTACTCCTCTGCTAAAAGAGAACAACTGACAGATCTAATGTTTCCTGCATTGACTTAAACAACGATTTGCCTTTAATTAATTCCATCCTCTGACAAAAGATTTTCTTTAATTTATATAGAAAAGTTCTATTGTAAGGAGAGAGAATCATTCTCCCCTACAAATGTGCACAGTTATAAGTACATGCACACTCGATAATGTATCCCAAACTGTTATAAAGTAAAGACATGCAAACCATATTTAGAACACACATGCTGATTTCTCCTATCAGTTTTTACAATAAATGACAAAATCTCTTTTTTTTCAATGACATGTTAATCTGTGCCAAGTATCACAGAAAAAAAAATTTACCCTATACCAGTGCTTTAAAGTAAAACTGAATTCACCCCACTTATCAATACTTTCCTTTGTATTTTACCTTTAACAAAGTATATACCATTGTCTATTAGGGTAACACCTCTTCAATTAACAGTTTTACATTTGTGCACATTTCTTTTATATAGAGCTCATTTCCTTCCTGATCCTGATTTAACTCATGAGGCTAATTTAGTAGAGCAGCATGCTTCCCTGCTGGAGAGACAATGGCCAATAGAGGTAGGTCATCTACTCATTTTAAACAAAGAGGATGCGGATGCTTTCTTCCTCAAAACCTTGATTCATATCTACATTTTAAAGTCTGTAATTATAAACTTAGAAGTTAAGCGACTTATGCAATTCTTCAAGGTCTTTATAATTGTAGGCAATTGAAACCTTTTATGAGATAGGAATATCAGTAGATGCCTCATCTAACTCTTATTGAATTTAAGATGAAATTTAAATCTGATTGAAATAGAATATTAGGGTGCCAGAGTTTACAAAAAAGAGAAATAAATCCAATCTTTTGTACTCATGTATGGATGTAGATAATTGTGTGTTTCACTGTAGGATGCTGACAGTAAAGCTGAGGCCCAGGGGAGTCCTGTATTTAAGCAGCACCCACGTAAAGTCAGCATCCTAAACATGCCCCTGATAACAACCTTGTATTATTGCTGCTTCTACCATGGCAGAGATGCTGAGGTGAGCTGAATTTACTTGATTCTTCCTAGATATACAGTTTTTTCATGACCCAACATCACAGTGGCACATAGAGGCAGTTTCCCCTGGAAACATGGTCATTTTTTTTATACCAACATTAACTGTATTTTCCTAGTGTAAAACTCTTCCCAAAAAATAAATGAAAAAGGCTACTTATAAAATATAGGTAAAAAAGCTAATCAGCAATTTTTTTCTACCCATGGGAAAGGGTCCGGTACCGGTTCAATTGGGAAAAATTAGCATCGAAGTAGAACAAAGGAGTAAGGAGAATTTTCTGTCATTTAAACAAATGAAACGTATTTTGCATTTATTCCATTTTCATTACCTATTACTCCATGTTTTAAAGAATAAACAACAATTATTTATTGTTTTTCATATCAATGTCCCTAGTTATCGCATTTTCATGCTTTCAATTTGTCAAAATGTATGACACTACGCTGTTTACACCACAGGTTCCGCCATCCACGACTGATCTCTACTTTCGATTTAAGTGGAATTGAAACAGTCAATTTGTACAATGTTTCATACGAAAAGAAATACGATGTCATCGTAGTCTGTTGCTTGGCAGTTTAACTGGGAATTTTTAGTCTCATAATTGGGGAAAATTAATATTTTTTGGCATTGGGAATGGTACCGTTTATCGGTACCAGATATATAAGGAAAAAAAAAATGCTGCTAATATAGAAAGGATTTTTGTATTATCTGCACTGTAGACTGTACAAAACCCTGTAGATACTGATTTTATCTCTTTCTAGTTGAACATTTTTTAAGGTAGACATTGCAGGGTGCAAAAACAGCAACATCAAAATTTTCATGATATATTTTTTAACTTATATCAGGTTGTTTAGGATTGATTGTTTTAAGGAGCACTATATTTTCTGGCAAATAGGAGCACCATAGAAATAAGTACCACTAGTCCGTAGTCTCGTCCCATGGGCGATTTATGATTAAGACTTTCTCTCACTCCACATTGGCACCATGTGTTTGTACCAAGATCCTGCCCCAGTATTACTGGTTTGGTTTATAATATGGTATTATAAACTGTTAGCAGTTATATGTCAGACTGCAAGTTTTAAAGCCACTTTCAATTCTAATTTTATGTTCTCAGGTACATGTTCTGTGTAACTTAAAATTTATAAGTACATGTACCCATGGTACCAGGCCACCTTAAAGAAATTTACACACATTTTGATGTTTTATCAATTTAAAACCATATATTATTATTTGCAGAATCTGTTGACATCCCCTGTAGCTATTAAGAAGCAGCACCAGGTAAATTATTTTCTTTAGTCTAATCACAATAACTGTGTAAAATAAAGATGTATCAAACCTTTTAAAGAGAAAAAAAAAATAAAATAGCAGCTTACATTAAATAAGTATATGTCTTAGTTATCAGACAAACAGTACATATGGACTGCTCTGTCAGCAAGGTCAAGGTTAAGGCACTGGACAGGCATTGAGGAACTCCTTACAGCCAAGGTAAGAAATGACCTTGACAGAAAGTTTCATTAGTGACTTTTGAACTACACACTAAAGATTGTAACCTTGACATTTACTCCAGGGATGAGGTTATTATTAAAATCTTTTTGAGATCCGTTGTAAAACATTGATTGCAGTTAGATGTTTATTGTAGGTTTGGGGTTTAAAGCCTTTGCATGACTGAATAGGGACTTTACAGTAGGAAATGACTACTATTCTTAAAGAGTTGTAATTTGAAATAATCACTTTATCTCCTTTGTTACTTAATCCAAAGAAAAAAAAAGTAATACATGGATTTCAACATGTACATGGCATGTAGGATCCAAGAATTTTTTTTGGATGGGGGGTCCACACCCACTCAAAATAGCCAACTCAGAATTTTTTTCCTACATTAATACATATGATTCTCCTTACCATTTTACCAGGGGTTCCTGTTTTTTAGGGGGGTGTCCAAGGTCATTTTTTGGTAATATATAAATTTATTGTCTATGAAAATGCCAATGAGTGAGGGGGGTACAGACATCCCTGACCTGCCCCCCCCCCCCCCACCCCCCAACCTTTCCTCTGTAGATCATGCATGGAACTGCCTAGTTATCATTAGATACATGTTAGCTGCAATAACTTATTTTATAGCAGGTTCTTTAAATCATGTGTTTGGATATTCAAAATTTAAGGAGTGGAATGCATTGTAGGTATAAAACTTAGATATTTTACAGGTACTTTATGTATCACCACAACTTTTTTTTTGAAAACACATTTTCAGTTTGACTTACATGTATTTCCCATTAATAGGGCTGGTTTGGTAGCACTAAAAATGTATCAGTGATTGGTTTTGACAAAGTCTGTGAAATCTTACATAAGACATCAGCTCCGGAAGAGGTGAGTGAATTATTCCCCCTTAAATATTATACTTTGAAATCAATTAATGGTGGTAGATATACAGTAGTGCTCAGAGGGATGAAAATATAAAATTTTCTAGAATAAGGATATTCTGCAAAGAGATGCTATGATATTGCATTAGTGAATATCATTGTGAAGGTAATTCAGTCCCTTTATTTCATGTTTATTGATCATTTTGTTTTCCTTAGATATTGTCAAAGTATCTGAGAATGATAGATGGCTCCGAGAAACGATTCAATCTGGCCAGGAAATACAAATGTCATGAGGTGGTGGTGGAGGTGAGAATTCAATGAATTATAAAATAAAAAATGAAATAGAAGATGGAAAAAAAATCATTTATATAATTTTTTATTTTCTGACAAGGGCTTCAGACTGATTAGCTTATTTTTTTCATTGAATTTGATATAGCTAGAAAAAATGTACCCCAGGCAAATAAATATCATTCAAATTTAGAAGAGTCCTTAAAAAACTTTGCATTAAAACAGACCAATATTGGATTGGTATAATTGCATATACAAGGGTCATTCAAAAAAATATACAGAAAATTTCGTTCTTCATTATATTATTTTAAAGAAATTTAAGATCAACACATTGTGGTATGTAAAAACATTTACTGTATAACAGGTATTTTTGCTATTGTCCATTTGTTGCGAAATTTTGCAGATAGAGATCTGCAGAAATTACAGTCGCAAAATATTCCTTAAATATTAATTCAGAAATTCTGTACATGCAAGTGGTGCTTATGTCAGTCAACTGATTTAATGTTATTTCAAAACTCCTTACTCTATATTCTAAAAGAAATATGCATATTAAGCCATGCAGATGTATGAAATGAAAGGGATTTGAAAATAATTTATTAAGACTTACTTATAGATGGTAGAGTTTAGTATCAGTTTAATGTACCGGGTATGTTGGGTCAACGTGTTATTAAATGAATTTAATACTATGTAAAACATGGCAGTGTTTTGCCAAATCCTTAGAATCTGGTATCCATATCCCATAAATTTTTGTGGTATAATGCAAATGAAGAAATTAAAAATGCAGAAATTAATAATTTACTACCTTTCAGGGGTCAATTCACAAAAATTTCCAACCACAGAAAATACCCATTATACTGTATTTTTTTTTTGTACGTGCAGTTTCATTCCATTTGACCAAATGGAACCCATGTTATTACATTATGTTTTGTCACCAGGGAGCAATCTTATCAATGTCAAAAACACAACATTATGAAAATATTCAACCTCTTCATTTCACACACAGTCTGTAGTGCCTTACCCATTCATTAAAAAGATTTCTCGACCACTTTACACTTATAGTTGCTGACAATAATTCAAATCTCAAAATAGTTCATTAATGCCTTCAATTTTTTTTACCATGTAACCTGCTTTCACAATGGTTAAGCACACAACCCTTTCCAATACATAATTAACGGTTTTAAGAGATTTTTTCTGCTTGGGGTGTATATGCTTTTCAGTGTTTATTTAGCTGAAAGTTTATTGTTTAGCTGTAAACCTTGTCAGTCCTCAGTGTCCAATATGGAATGTTCAGTAATAAATTGTTCTTAAACTGTATATTCTTTTGTTACATATAAATGATAATCCATTTCCTTGGAGGTCGTCCATCAACCAATACAGAGTCCCTAAAACTCAAAATAAATTCCCATGACATTTATGCGCATAAGGACAGCTAACTTTTGATGTTTTCTGCTTCCTATAGCTTTTTCTGAGTTTATTATGGCTTTTCCCCAAGTGCAACATAAAATTCTATTGCGTCCTGCGAAGTCATTTTTTTAACCCTTTCAATGAGAACTACCTGTCTTCTGCAAGAAAATTTCTGTTCAGCAAAGCAATATATAACATCTAAATTTGTCATAAAAATTGGTCTAACCATACTCAATTTGAGTGTTTAAATTTTGTTCTAATGCCATTTTACAGATGTAAAACTAAATTGACATTATAAAGTGCATGTATTGTGATTACTATACTTAATTTTGACTTGCTCCATGACCCCATTTTTACAAATTTAAATTGTAAATAAATCTGAAATATAGCATGATATATTTGAATTTTTTAACCCAACTAATTTGGATTTATTGCTAAAATATTCCTATTTGAAGTTGAGTAAAAAAAAATTTTTTAAATGTCTAATTTTTTGAATGACCCACATAAAACCAAGCTGAAGCGTATATTGGACTTGTTATTGGGTTAATTATGGAAAACAGAATTTGACATGCAGTAATAAATCAAAGTTTAAAATTTTTTTCCTGTGTAGACTTTGGTAAGTTTACGAGATCGTGCTGAACTACAGGCATATGCTAGTAAATTACCACCAGGGTCCCAGGGAGTGAAGATGGCACAGGATGCTCTTCGTTCCTCGGTAAGTCTTGCAGCATCCAAGAAAAATAAAATTTTTCGATCATTTCCATATATCTCACTTTTATTCAGTTAACATTGTAGTTTTTTATATTGCTGACCAACTATCATTTTGTCTGCTGTTAAAGTTTTTCTATCTTACATGTATCTTGCCTGTATATCTTCACGTTTTCTCGATGGCGAGTAAAAGGTTTACCGTAAGTTCTGGGTTAAGTGGACACAGTGACTAAAGTGTTCTATTATTGATATGTGTGGTATTACAAAATGGTGTTTTCATTTACACTCTTGATCTACTAGTATACAGTATGATGTTTATGACATTAATGAAAAATTCCAAATAAAATTCCTTTTTCTTTATATTTAAGACAATCAAGTGGAAAACATGAAGAGACAGATTGATGGTGTCTATCCTGTAGCTGTGATATTTGTTCATGAGAGAACACAGATTTTATAACAATAATGTTTGATTTGCTAGACTTGATCTAGTGGTCAAACTTTGGGCAGCCAGTGGACAAACAGACTAAAATTTTGATTGGTAATACAACCTTTACAAAGAGCAGAATGTCCACTATTTATTCTATATCTAGAGTTGTTTGCCAACAAATGAAGACAGAGATGATAAAAATGGTTAAAAGTTAGAATGTCCACTATTTATTCTATATCTAGAGTTGTTTGCCAACAAATGAAGACAGAGATGATAAAAATGGTTAAAAGTTAGTAAATTTGTGATTTGTGTGGGAGACTCTTTGAAAATCTTCATCAAATGTTTATACTGTAAATGTATTACATGTGGGTGTGTATTCTCTTGAGCGCCTTTGTCAGGAACCAGCTTCCACTAAATCAAATACATCACCATACATAAACATTAATATATATATACATTTAGAAATGTACTAAATCATGTTGAAAATCAATTTCTGCCAAATGTACATGCTAAATAGTAGCAATTTGTCAAGTTCTTCTATAAAAGAATCATTAGCTACTAGTGAGTACTAGCCACAATAAGTTTGTTTTAAATACTGGCATATATAAATAGAAATGTACTTTCTACCTTGTGGGATGATATTTGATACACTGTAATTGTCTATATATGAACTTTAAACATGAATAAGACTAAGGAGTAATTTAAACAGTTTGTCAATTTATTAGATCACCCGAGTCACTCAGATGACCTACTGCTATCTGTTGTCGTCCATCATCATGCTGTGTACATCATGCATTGTCCATCGTGTGTCGGTCATAAACTTTTTAACATTTTCATCATCTTCTTATGAACCGTTTAACCAATTCTAACCAATTTTAGTACAGTGTATATATATGTAGCATTTATGGGTCAAGGGGAACCAAAATTGTTAACTTTGTGGTCCCAGTGCCCCTGGGGTATGAGGGATGGGGCCAAAACCATAAAAATTAATACAATTTTCCAAAAATCTTCTCCTTGACATCAAGCAGTCAAACTGTTGGCATGATTATGACAAGCAATGAGTCCTTTAAATTGAATTACGGAATTCATGGCTCCTTGGTCAGGGGCTCTGGTATTTGGATGGGCCTTTATGATAATCGGGTGAAAACGCATTATTTCTTTCAAAACTTCTTTTTTAGTCCTGGGTATTAAGTAAACAGACTAAGTGCATGGTTATGATGAGCAGGGGTGCCTCTTCCAAAATTGTGAGATTCATGCTCCTGGGTCAGGGGTTCTGGTGCCAGGGCTGGGCTCTATTGATTATATAGTGAAAATGCATAAATTCTCTTAAAATTTTCTTTGCCCCTGAGTATTTATCAGACTAACATCGCATGGTTATTATGAGCAAGGTGCCTCTTCTAAATTTGTTAAATTCATGGTCTCTGGGTCAGGGGAGCTGGTGTTAGGTTGGGGCTCTATTGTTTATATAGTGAAAATGCAGTATTTCTTTGAAAATCTTCTTCCATGCTGCTTGGTATTTTGCAAACATATTCATCTTCAATTTATCTTTGTTTATACTTGTGTGGATCCTTTACAGTGTTGTTAACTGTTATTTTATACTCAGGTGACTGTTAAGGCCCTTAGACTTCTTGTATCTTTTGTATATTATTACATACTGTATGTTCCCATATGGTATATATCTTAATTATAGATATCTTAAGCTTCCTGATATCTACTGCTGCATGCAGTGTTGAAATCGCTAACAAATATAGAGAATACATTGATATTTTTTATTTATTTATTCAAATTTATTCAAATTGTTATTTGATTAAAAACAAATCCTCTCATTGTGTTGGTAGTCCTTTAAATTTATGGAACATTCCTTTTCCTGATTATTAATAATGATGTCTTTTATTTACCATCTTTGTCACTATTTGACTAACAAGCCCCCCCCCTCCCCCCCCAGCAGAGCATCCCCTCACAATGTCATTTCATCTTGAGAACAGTCTCACATATTGCACTGATCATTAAATAATATTAGAATACACTTGATTTCTTTTTAGGTCACCTGAGTAACTTCAGGACAAGGAATGATCAGAAAAGCTCACTTGAGCTTTCAGCTTCCCCCATTTTGATCCCACTGTACACCCAGGGCCCATGATTTGAACAAAATATCTACACAATTTGAGATTACTTGCTTCTTAATTGCAGTTGATAGCATTGTCAAATTAAAATAGTTCTATTAGCTAGCCATAATTTTCAAAATTAACTTGATGTAAAGATTTAAAATTAATTTGATATTTATGATATAGTATTTTTATGCTGATTTTAAGATCACCTGAGTTTACTCAGGTGACCTATTGCTATTTTTTTTTGTCCGTCATTGTGCGTCGAGTGTTAGCATTTATACATTTTCAGCTTCTGCTCTGGAGCCACTGAACCAATTTCAACCAATTTTGGCATATAGCATCTATGAGTGAAAAGGTACATAAGTTGTAAAATTCATGGCTCCTGCCCCCCAGGGCCCTGAGGGGTGGGGCTAAAACCATAAAAATTAATGCAATCTTTAAAAATCTTCTTTTTTACTCCTGGACATCAAGCAATCAAACTGCTGGCATGATTGTAATAAGCATTGAGTTCTCTACCAAAATTGTGAAATTCATGGCCCCTGGGTCAGGGGTTCTGGTGCAAGGGTGGGGCCTCTGTTGAACATATAGTGAAATTGCATTATTTCTTTTAAAAATCTTCTCCTTTGCTCCTGGGTATTAAGGAAACAAATTAAATTCACAGTTATGATGAGGAAGGGTGCTCTTCCAAAATTGTGAATTTCATGGCCCCTGGGTCAGGGGTTCTGGTGTTAGGTGGAGCTCTAATGATTATATAATGAAAATGCTTTAATTCTTTGAAAATCTTCTCCTCTGCTCCTGTGTATTAATGAAACAAACTAAATGCATAGTTGTGATGAAGAAGGATGCCTCTTCCAAAATTGTGAATTTCATGGCCCCTGGGTCGGGGGTTCTGGTGTTAGGGCAGGCCTCTAATGGTTATAGAGTGAAAATGCATTAACTCTTTGAAAATCTTCTCCTTTGCTCCTGGGTATTAATGAAACAAACTAAATGCATAGTTATGATTGGGACAGATGCCTCTTCCAACTAAGTACATAGTTTTGATGAGGAAGAGTGCCTTTTCCAAAATTTTGAATTTCATGGCCCCTGGGTCAGGGGTTCTGGTGTTAGGACAGGGCTCTAGTTATTGTATAGTGAAAATCCATAAATTCTTTAAAAATCTTCTCCTCTGCTCCTGGGTATTAATGAAACAAACTAAATGCATAGTTATGATTGAGACAGATGCCTCTTCCAAAATATTGAATTTCATGACCCCTGGGTCAGGAGTTCTGGTCTTAGGGCTGGGCTCTAATGATTATATAGTGAAAATGCATTAATTCTTTGAAAATCTTCTCCTCTGCTCCTTGGTATTAAGGAAACAAACTAAATGCATAATTATGATGAAGAAGGGTGCCTCTTCCAAATTTGTGATGGATGTGGCCCGTTGGTTAGGGGTTCCGTGGAGGGGGGTATTTAATACATACTGAAAATAAATTAATGTTCTTTTGCTCTGGGGTATTAAGTAAACAATCTAAATGCATAGTCATGATGAGGAAGATTGCCTCTTCCAAAATTGGTAATTTTAAGGCCCCTGAGTCAAGGGTTCTGGTATTTGGACAAGGCTGTATTGAGTAAATAGCAGAAATGCTTATAATACTTTGAAAATCTTCTCCTCTGCCCTTGAGTATTAAGCAAACACACTAAATGCAATAATGTAAATGTTTAAGTAAAAGTGCCTTTTCTCTGCTCCTGGGTATTAGAGCCTTGTCCAAATACCAGAACCCTTGACTCAGGGGCCATGAAATTACCAATTTTGGAAGACCCTTGGTGGCTGCATATCTATTAAAAATTAAGGTATGTAATTTTAAAGCTAGTCCATGTATTATGACCTCATGAATTGCATCATTATCCTCAAATCTTGATAATTTCCTCAAAAAATGGCCAAAACTTTAAGCTGTTCTTCAATATTTTGCATAGACTCCAACCTCTGATACAGAATGTTCAATTATATAATGAAAGAACTGTTTCAAATAATTATAATCTGTGTTTTATTTTCGGGATTGAGGGGTGTGCACATATTTTAATTCTTTGCTGAGGTACTCAGATACTCCCATTTTCTCAAGTATCAACATGACTTATCATGGCCATGTTGTTATTGAGAAGATTTTTTTAAATTCCTACATATACCCTTGTAAAACTGTAATCTATTGTGGTCCCACCCTACCTCCTAAAGCCATGATTTGAACAAACATAAATCTACACCACTTGAGAATGCTTGCATATTAAGATTATTAATTGGCCTTGCTGTTCTTGCGAAGAATTTTTAAAAATATTTTTCCCCCTACATATTCCAGTGTTAAACTTTGATCTTCTATTGTAGCCCCACCCTACCCCCTGGGGCTATGATTTCAACAAATCTGAATCTATACTATGTCTGAAAGCTTTCACATTTGTTTCATCTTTTCTGGCCCAGTGGTTCTGGAGAAGAAAAATTGTTAAGACACCCACACTATTTTTGCCTTTTCTTGATTATTTTCCCTTTCAAGAGGGTATGGTCCTTCATTTGAACAAACTTGAATCCCCTTTACCCAAAGATGCTTTTTGGCAAGTTTGGTCAAAATTGGTCTAGTGGTTCTGGAGAAGAAGTCGAAAATGTGAAAAATTTACAGACGGACAGCTAGACAGACGGACGACAGACAAAATGTGATCAGAAAAGGTCTAGTGGTTATGGAGAAGTGTAAAATGTGAAAAGTTAACAGATAGATTCCAACGAAAATCTCACATGAGCTTTCAGCTCAGGTGAGCTAATAAAAAAAGTGTGGAGGTTTGGAATGGGAAGGTGTTGGCTTGAGGTGGATTTATAGGGGGTTGTATGCTTAAATAAAGTTTTCCAGTACTCTATTTTTCTTAACAAAATAAATGAATCATCAAGATAGAAAAATATCTTAAAAGTATAAATGTATTTTCTCCACATGATCAAAAGATCCCCATACTAGCACCAGAACCCCTTGCCCAGTGGTCATGAATTCCACAAAACTGGTAGGGCACCCTTACCAATTATAACTTTGTTCTTGGTTTGCCTGCTGGATGCCCAGGAGTAGAGAAGGTAAATGATCAATAGAGGTCCGTCCTAACTCCGGAACCCCAGACCCTGGGGTCAGAGTAGGCCATGAAATTCATTATTTTCGTTCCCCTTGACCACGGCCGACAACGTACGAAAACGGAATACATGCAGGAATATAAATATTTAAATCTATTTCTGAAGAACAGCTTGGTGATACCTAGTTATGTTGATATACTAGCATCCCGATATAGTCACTCCAATAATGAACATAAGGCTAAGGCAGTGTTAAAATAGGGTCAAAGTTTGAAATAGCAATATGTGTATAACACTGTATATGCACAGCGAAAAAAAAATCTCCAGAAAACTCTCAAGAACAGAAGTGCAACTGTTCGTCTTTAGCTTAGATGGCCCATTCTTAAAGGGTAAAGGGCATTCACGATTTTTGAAAATAAGGACAACGTGTTTTTTTTTTTTTTTTTGTGGGGGGGGGGGGGGGGGAGGGGGTGTCCAAGGACATTTTTTTTCTTCTTTTTACATAGAAATGTAATAATTCTTAAA